GTTAACATTTCCTTTACCTGGGTGCAGAACATCTTTCTTCACCCTTTTTGTGGTCATGTCCTCCCTTCCCTTAGAATTCTGCTTAGATAGCATCATTCTCCTCTCCTTCTGAAGCCTCTCCACAGTTTTCGAAAGGTCTTGTATTTCTCTCCCCTTTGCAGCCAGCTCCTCATTGAGTCTTACCAGTTTAGCTTTAGCATGAGCCTGTTCCACCTGGAATTCTATAGACTGGAAATCTTTATCATCTTTATCATCTTTCTTGAGTTCTAACTCAGCATTCTGATGTTTAAGAGTGTCTATTTCAGCTTCAAGGTTTCTTACAGTGATTTGATGGGCTTCTTTAATGTCATCAAGTTCCTTCTCTAGTGCTTTAACCCTGGAGTTGTCACGTTGGTTCTGGGGTGCTTCCTTCAATTTACAGGCAAGTAGCTGCTCCTGCTCCTCTAGCCTCTGTTCATACTGAATCTGAAGAAAAGAATCCATGTAATGCCAAACCACTGCTAACGAAGTTAACCACTGTTAACAAAGCCCTGCATTCTACCAGGTTCTACCTATTCCTTCATTCAGGCACTCATTACATATTCTGATGGCTCCAACTCTGTGTTCCTTGAGTCAGTCAAATGTATTGAAGTCCTAATCGTTGAAGGGCAGAACATTATATATTCTCAATATATATTAATTACATAATTAATGTTGCTTCAAAACATTAATTTATACATTTTTGTATATCCCAAAACTTATTTTAAACCTCACAATCAAACCTGTTATTGTATAACCTTCTCTATGCAAATCGATAAAACTATACTTTGAAGATAAATAGGAAAAGCAATTGGGGATACTGAAGTCTTTAAGAAATAGCACATTTTCAGCTTAGTAATATCAATTTAGAAATCTCGTAAGGCGTAAATCAGCCTGAAATTTGAATCCTGGAGATTTAGTATTATAAATGAAATATCCTAAATAGTTTACTCTGTGGAAAGAGGTACCCATGGTGTTTGTTCATTCATTCAATGAATATTCATTTAGCTAGGACTTTATACTAGGCACTGGGCCAGAATCTAGGGATAAAGAAATTCAGTTCTTGCCTTCAAACTCATAGTCTAATGAGGAGAACAACATGGCAATAGTTTCAATGTACTATGATAGCTGTGATAATGTGTCAATGAACATGTAAGTTCCAGTGAAAATATTTTCAATCATGGTAATTCAAAAACATTTGTACTGAATATATATCAGAGATACTGTACTCTGCCTTTCCATGACTTAATTTCTACTAATTCTAATAACACTGAGAGGAGCTTATGTAAAGATTATACTGTGCTTGATTATTCCATGTTTGAAATAAGAAATTACTGAAAGAAGACAAAAATATAGAATGAATCTAAGTTTCTTTAGCATCTGACACTCATGGTAAAGGTTTTGTGGGAAAGGAAGTTTAGAGCTATTTATTAAAATGAGATTTAAGAAGTCCCAGCCCCATCTCCATGGCTACGTGGCACTTACTTTCATTTTCTGAAACTGTTGTTCCATGGTACGAAGGCTCTTCTTTGCTTCTTCATCTTTACCCTCCAGATCAGCTTCTAGTTTTTTTATCCTTTTCTCCATAAATTCCACCGTACTTCTATCCACTGTATCACCAGCTGCTGATGCAGCCAATATTAAAGCAGGTAAAGAATTAGGATATCTTCTCTTTAGAATTCCTTCCATTTCCTTAACCTATTAAAAAATTTTTGTATAATATGCAAGGCCATAAATATATTAAAATTAAGCAGTTTGTTACAGATTATGCTATATGAGTCACGTTTAGATTTCAAAGAGATGTTTATATCATATCTCAGGACTGAAGCAAATGCACAGAAGCACAAATCAATTTCAAATTATATATCATTAAATTATCTGATTTAAAAACCCTATAGTACAATGTCTAAGTACTGGTTATTTCACAGAAATCTTCTTACATTCATTTGAGATAGATCTTGGTATAATTTTACTAGTAATAACCAATCTTTCTGAGGACAAAGCTCTTCCCCTCCTTTTTTTCCACAGATCCCCTCAAATGACAGTACTTATATTATCTACTAAAAAATTACTTACATACACGTGAATGTACAAACTTATGTCAATAAACATACAGCCTACTAAGCATCTGCCCCTGCCTGCAACAATCTCCACCCTACCTCAACCTGCCTCCAAATGAAGTTTAATCTATTTTAAAATGATGTCTTTCCTCCTTTTAGGAAAAAGGATTAGATGATAAAAACTAATTTTCATTTGGCCTATAAAACATTACATGGTCTTTCTCGAAGAACAAACGGCACCAGTGTGAACAGAAATGAGAGCTTGGTATTACATATGCACATGTGTGTATATCTGCTTTTGTTAAAGATATTAAGATATCTTTGAAAAACATATAGTAAAAAATTAAGTTCTTTTGTTGAACAGTTTTCTAGCTTCTGAGCATGCAATCAAATAAAATAGCACCTGAGAGGCAGTCAGTCTAGTGCAGTGGTTAGAACACATTTGGAGTTAAGAGTGCACTGCCAGCTTGACCTGTGTCAAGTCCTTAGTCAAAACTTTTTCCTGATCAGGAAAATGGGGACAATAACAATACCAATTTCACTGTGCAGATACAATTAAGTGAGGATCAAATAATATTCGTCTTCATAAATTTGCTTAGCAGAGTGCCCAGTGTATAGTAAGGGCTTGATAATATTGGCTTTTATTATAATCAGAACTCAAAAGCTATCCTTCATTTAAAATTTTAAGGAATATTTTCAATCTAATTTTGATTTCTTGAAATTTATTTCTTTCATTTCCTTTTTCTGAAATTTACATTACATTTTTTGGGGAAATCAGATTTCATTTAGATCTTTAATTTTACTTTTTAATATTATTCTTTAATCACTGATACTAGTGTGACTATCATACAAAATAAATGTTTTTGTTTTTTTTTTTTAAATCCTCACTGGAAATCAAACTGTGGAATATTCCATTAAATAAAATTATGAATACGTATAATCTAAAATTTTCATTATAATGTACATCTAAAGTAGGCCCATTTTTACTTATGTGCTATATAGAAAAGGAGAGATTTTATTCTATAATTAATCTATTTCATAATATGGCTCCAAAATGATTCTGAATATATTACAATATGCCTTGATTATAATATATAAGTTTTAAAATCGTTAGGACAGAAATATTCATGGGGATAGAATTAGATCTAAAATATTCATGCAACAAACTATACAAAATACTATTAATAATATTTTAGAAGATATAATCTAAGATGATAAACCAATAAATTTTCAATGAAAATGTTATTAAAAGAGGGAGGTTATTTTCATAAATGTTGTATTTCTGGTCAATACTGATCACCATTTCACATCCTAATTTTGCTATTAAGCATGATTAATATTATTCTCACACATTAAGTTCTATATTATTTCTCTTAAAATAAAATCATCTTTTAGAGAAGTAGTTCCCTTGGTCTTTTTTCTCTCATAATTCTGGATGGCTTCTTCTATGTTGGCTAATCTAAATCTTTATAATGGAAAAAAAAACAAACAAGCAATCCTGCTCTATAGTTACTTCAAAATATTCCTAGTTCTTCAAATCACTTCTGTGGTTTCTTTCCTGACCACTGAACGAAAATACCAAATCATACCTTTTCACAAAAAAACAGGTCCTGTAAAAGTAACAAAGTAATTTTTTGCTTAAGTTTTCTTTCTCATTAAACTGGGATAATATTCAGCCCAGTGATGACCTCACTGTTTTGGGTTTGTGATGGAATAATAGCCATACATTTAAGTGTCATAACTTCACTACAGAATCATGCTCTCCTATAAAAAGGGCTGGAAATTCTTATTTTGTTTTAATATTTAGTTATGAATAGAAACACTACACATAGAAAGTTTTAAAAACAGAACAAAGTTAATATTCCACTCCACAAAACAACTACTTCAATGAAAAAAATCTTTATCCTAATAAGTGTCATCATAGGATTTTTGAAGTCTCCCAGCCATACTGACTATGAAATGAGTATTTCTAAGCGTAAATAGTAAAAGCTCCAAATATGGCCAGCTCTTTGGGAGGCTGAATGTTCTGTTTCCAGGGTGTCTTGCAATACTTCCCAAGCATTCCTAACATATTCCCAACTCAAGGATTTCTTTTCCTGTACTCCTCTCTCACTGATCTTTCATCAGGAGAAGGAATACTAACTCCATACCCAGAGTTTCAAAATTCTGCTTCTTCCTCCTGGAGGTCTAATAGAGCTGTAATGCAAAACTACCTTTCATCAACAGATCTACCATCTAATGAGACGCATTAGTCTAAAAATTCATTATGCATAAACCATAGATTATATAAAATGGTATTGTTTATTATTTTTATTAATGTTACTTTACCGTATACCAAGTATATTTAAAGAAGGGGCAGTTTATATTAAAATAAATGTATAAAAATAAGAATTTCCAGGTTGATTACATCTTACAGGAACTCCTGAAACAAAAGAGAAAACACAAATGCACTTTATATAAAACACCTTAATGAAAATTTACCCTTAACACATACTTGTCGCTCCAGATCTTGAATTTTTTTGACATCAGCTGCTCTATCTTTTAAACGTATCTTTTGCTGAATAGATGGATTTCCAGATTCAGCTTTCAGTTTCTCAACCTATCAATAAGTAAAAACATGTTGAGAAGCATATTTAAAACCTACCAGAGAAACACCAGGAGAAACAAGCATAATGGTAGTTCATTCATTCATTTATTAATTCCCAGTTATGGTACTGTGCTGGAAGAATCAGAGGGCGTGGAACTGGCAGCTATATTAGATAAAAAGGTCAGAAAACGTCTCTCTAGAGAGTAGAAATTTCAGCTGAGACTTGAATGAGAAGGAGTGAGACACGGGAAGAACCAAGGTCAGAGTAATCTAGGCCAAGACAACAAGTGGAATGAACTTAGTATGTTCAAGAATCAACAGGAGGTTTGGTGTGGCTGGAGGAGAATGACTTGTTTGAGTGTGGTTCTGATGAGGCTGGAGATGCAGGCAGGGTTCAGACCATGTGGGGATCTGACAGATCATGACACAGAGTTTGAATTTATTTGCAGTCTAATCTAAAATAAACTATACATCTAAAAGTGAACCAAGATCCAAACTAGGTATTTTGATAGAATTTAAAGGATTGAGTCAATGACACAAGACTAAGAAGAACTGACTGCTGAAGAGAACAGGGTTCATCTACAGAAATACTTTCTGAAATAATCTATTACACCTCAAGTTTGAGCTTCTCAATTTCTTCATTTGCTTCTTTAAGCCGAGCTGCATCTTTATCCAGAAGTTCCTGATTTTCAGCATACCACTGTAATCTTTTTTGCAGATGGCTGATTTCTTGTTTATGTGTTTCTTCTAAAATTTTTATTTCATATAATTTTTCACCTATAAAATAAAGTAACTCAATAACTTATTGTAATTTTTCAAAGTATGAAAATAAATTAAAATACTTTAAATGAAAAACAAAGCCTATCTAAAATAAAAATATTATGAAAAAAATAAGAGGCAAAAAATAACTGACGTATGAAAGGTAGTGTCTAGTTTAATTTATTAGGGAGGAGACAAAGATTATGTTCATAATCTAAATCTTCAAACTCATAGCAAAATTGACTATGTAGAAATTTCTGACACACTGTTTTCCCACTATTATAAAAGTAAACTTGTTTTCATGGAAAAATAAATATTGGATTCAAGAGATAATAAAGAATCTCTACGATTATACTTAAAGTAACAATAGCAAACATTAGTGCTTACCATGCATGATTTTACTTAACACAACAAACATATGATGGGTACTATTATGAATATTCTATTTTACAGATGAGGAAAGTAAATGTAATTTTCTTACAAATAGATAAGTGGATTTGATTATACATATCTTACACTGAAGATCATAATATCACAAAGGAGAACTCTTTATTTTGGCAAATGAGAACTCCTGTGATCTATGTTTCTAGCCCTGTGTTCTGCTTTCCTAAGCTCCAGTTCATAGGTGCAATCAATAACATGCTGAAGAAACACATTTGGGCAGCTTCCCTTCATTCCTTCACTTCTGAATCTTATCATCTGTCAGGACCCAGCTCAAATGCCATTCCTCCCTCAAACTCTTATTTAGCACCCTGACTTATGCTTATTTGTAATTTCTTTCTTTTTTTTTTTACATTAAACTTTTCTGTATTCTTTTCTTACTCTTTGTTTTCCTTGGTGGAGAATGCCATATTTATCCTTGTGTTTTCTACATAGTGCAAGGTTATTTGTTCATTTAGCAAATACTTGAGAGTTACATTTCAGACTCAGGGAAAAAGGACAGACCATGCCCTCAGCAAGGTCACAGTCTAGGGTGATAGGCATGTAAAGAATTAACATAAAATGCCACAAATAACAAAATAATCCTTGATTTTCTTTGATCTTGCCATTATTCCTGCTAAAACTATGCACATATCTATTAATAACTAATATTTAAAAAGTGTCTAAAATTACAATGTACTTCAAGAAACAGCATTTTGCTTAGATTATCCAACTGCTATTATTTAAATTCAAGATTAGAACAGTTATGGGTATAAAGGTAAACTGTTTTAGCTCAGTGTTTTACCTGTGGCATAAGCAATCTGATCTTTGGCTTGATCTCTCTCTCTCTTCATTTTTTCCAAGTCTACTTCAAGAGCCTGTTTGTCTTGCTTCAGTCTTTTGATGTCTTCCAATAAACTATTCTTTTCTTTCTTGATATTCATAGAAACAAAAAAGCAAATTATTTCTAATCACAATAAATTGTGGTACAGTCTCTCCTTCACCTAATCCATCACAAATACTGCTAATTATTCTTCCTAAATTTTAGGATTTTATCATGCTGCAAATTATTAGTAGCTCCCCATCGCCTACTAAAATCAGTTCTAATCATCTAACTCAGCACAGCCTGAAAGACCTTCCAACCTACTGTTCTAACGTTTCCTGTCCACTTTATTATTGTAAAAACCTCCTTAACTAGTCTGCCTCTCCACCCTCAGCACCTACAATCTATTCTCCTCACAGGAGCCAGAGGAATTGTTTTAGAGTCAGTTAATATCACTCCTCTGAAACTTTCTGGTGGTTCCCATCCCTCTCAAGGTAAACTCAAAGTCCTTACCATGATCTCCAGTGTCACATAACCTAGCCGAGCCCACATTTCTAACCACACTGACTACATATCTTCCCCCTCCCACTCCACTCCAGCTGCAAAGACCTCCTAGTGTTCTTTGAACATGCCCAGCACACTCCTACCCCAATGTGTTTGCACTTACTATTTCCTCTGTCCACAGCACTCGGCCCCCAGATAGCCATGTTGCTTGCTCCTTCACTTCATCAGGATTTCTGCTCAAATGAAGCCCCAGGAAAACCTCCCCAGAGTACTCTTTCTAAAACAGCAACCCCTGTACTGGCATCCTGGGTATGTTGCTTTATTTTCTTCTCACAACACTCATCACCACCTAACATAATATATATTTACTGGAAAGCAGGACTTCACTTTGCTAACCCTTGCATCATAAATGCATTAAAAATGCTTGGCACATCAAAATAATGTTGAATGAATTCTCAGTATGCTCTATATTCCACACTACTCTAAATGGGCCCCATTTTGCTACTTGACAAAAATCATACTTATCCTTCAAAGCTTCAAAAGAGGCTATTCCTGATAATCCCCTTCTCTGAGCTCCCATAAACTGTCACTGTACCTCTACTATAACACTTGTTAATTTACGTTTCATATGACATTGATTTGTGTCTATGCCTCTTCTCTTTATTAGGTCAAAAGCTCTATGGGGGACCAAGTCTGATGACTACCAGTTTACTTTATTCGACTAAGTACATGGCAGGTAATAAATGTACATTGAACTGATCACATAACGGCTGAAGAAACTCTTGGACTCATGGCAGTACACTTGGTATAATTAAGTTCCAGAATAAAAATTCTTACAAATTCTGTGTTATACTATCTTACAATTTTAAATCCAGTCTAAGAAAATAATCCATTCATCAAGTATTATATAATCTCGGTTTCTAGCTGCATCACAGATTTAACTGCATCATTTTACTGTTTCATCTGTGTGATCTTCTGTAGAGAGATGTCCTTTCAGGAGAGCACTGAATTTCTTCATTTTAAATGCTCAGGTATCTTTATGCAAATACGTTTTGTTTAATTAGATCAATCAACTTAGAAATGTTCTCTTGCAGTGCCTACTTCATGGAATAACAGAATTTTAGAGTTCAAAGGAACTTTAAACATCTTGAGTTCGTACATGCAATCACTGCCTAAGAGGATAGGATGTCCACTTAATTCTTCCATCTGTCCAGGGACTGAGACTGCCCACCTTTAAGAAGGCCAGTATGTCAATCCTGTGGGCACAGGGTTTTTGGCTGGCAAGCACTTTTCCTCCATTATAAGTTTATGTGCAGACATTCAGAGAGGGTCTCTCTAACCTTAGTTTTGTCCTTACTCATCCACTTCTGCCTCAGAGGCCTCTGCTTCTGGAAGGCAACAAGCCCATTCCTGATTCAGGGCTTAGACTTTCACTTTGGCTGGAAGATTGATTTTTGCAGTTAGCTGCTGCTTCTTTCCAGCTCTCAACCCAGACATTGCTTGCTCAGAGAGTACCTCCTTTACCACACTATTGAGTGCTGTCTTACCCCTACCCTGCCCACCTTATCCTCTCTATATATTTTCTTCAAAGAACTTACCACTATGAGTAATTATTTTATTTGTTTACTTATTATCTGTCTTCTCCATTAGAATATACGTTCCCCGTAAGTCACGTTCATGCCAATCTTGCTTACTTATTGTTTTCCCAATGCCAGGATGAGTGCCTGGTACCTGGCAGGTGCCTGACAAAGGCTGACCAAATGAATGAGCTGTGGTTGGCCTCTTTCTCCTCCCCACCCTGGGATACTAAAAGGAAAGGGCTCAGGACCTTTGCTTTTAGTATGTGTCCATCCAATTTATAAAGAACCAACTCACATTTTAACATTAAACCAATTAGCATTACTTTTTATAGTACAAATTAGACTGTATACAAGTATATTTGATATGAATATTATTATATTATAGATTTATCCCAGTATGAATTTTTGTTCTAAAACTAAAACCAAAAATGAGATTAAAATAAATCAAAATGAATGAAAATAAAGGTATATTTACATTCTATCTTTCAGTATTTGCACAAACAAATCTCTAAAGAATTTTTAATTTTTTTTTTAAATTAACATTTTCTCTCTTATTTTTTATTTTTCTTGAGCAGGACTCATTGTGCTTCCTGAATCTGAGAATTCATCTTTTTTATAATTTCTAGAAAATTCTCAGCCATTACCTTTCAAAAATATTTAAATATATACTATAACATCTCATATTTCTGATATTTCCCATTTCTCTATTTTTGTGTCATGTAGTTTACTAATTTCTTAGTTGTATATGATCATCTATTTGGCTTTTCTACTTATTTAATTTCCAAAAACATACTTCCAGAGCTGTTTATTTTTCTCTGAATTTGCCTAGTCTGTTTTCTTCTTACCTTATATCTTCTCACTTATTTTGTTTATTTAATCATTTTAAGTCTATTTATTTTATAGTCTGTTCAAAAATTCTATTAGGGTCTAATCCTGCTGTTTATTAAATTTTCCCATGCCTGCTCATGGTGAATTGTTTCTCTGGGTTTTGTAATTTTGCACTATGAGCATAATATCAGCAGGATTTTATCCGTATGGATACATCATGAGCCGGGTTAAGAACGTATACCTCTAAGAGTTGTGTTGTATTTGTTTCCTCTAGACGCTCTAGAGGTTATCATTGACTCAAGACCACAGTTTATGTTATTTATTTTTTCACTTTGAGTATGACCAACCCCTGTAGATAATGTCAATTCCAATACTAAAACACAAATGAAGGCAGAAGGGATGACATTTACAGTGAACGAGTAAAGCATGTGCACCAAGCAGATAGATTTTCCCTCCCTACTTGGAGATTAAGTGAAGACAGAAAAGCTTTCTTGACATCTCAGCCCATTATGAAGGTGGGTGGATTTTTTCCTAGTCCACTGTTTTACTCAAGGATGTGGCCCTCTGCAGTCCTGGTGCCCTGTCTTCACTCTGCTGTTAAAACTCAAGCCCTGTGGTCACTGAACGGAAAGCCTAGAAGCAGGTGCTTTCTTTTTACTGCGAGGTTTTCCTCCTTGTTCATTTCTGACCCCTAGAGACTTCCCTTACTTTCTTGAGAATTTGGTCATGCATTTACAAGATGTTTACTGTATTTTATCCAGTATTTTCCAGTACTTTTAGTGGCAGTTACAGTTTCTCATTTGTCAGAAGAACATGTTCCAAACAGCACTTTTGAAAGGTCACTAATAACAGCCTTTGAATGAAGCTAATGCTATGCTTGAAACCTTACCATGTTTTTCCACAACTTCATAAAATAGAGCAATATTAATTTCTCTTTTAACTTGCTAATTTTGAGGCCTACTGATAAGAACAGGTGTCTAATCATGTATTCTTTTTTCCTATCTGCCTACTTGCCTACCTATTTAATCATCTTGTACATGCATGCATCTGAAAGAAGTTATCTAGTGGCTTCATATTTGAAGCTGCAGTTTATATATTACAATTTCTATAGAACCTGACGTTATGTAACAAATATCTAATTAAAAAGTGATATGTAATTGGAAATTTTCTAATTTACACAATCATTCAAATAGAATGGAATGGCTCTTTAGTTTAGTGTTATGGTTCTTAATGGAGGGAGTGGGGAGAACTGCCCACCCACAGGGGATGTTTGGAAATGTGGCAGTGGTTTTGAGTGTTACAATGACTCATGAGTGCTATGAGCACAATGTTCCTAAGGACGGGGATAACAAAAATAATGCAATACATGGAACTGTTCTGCTTGAAAGAGAATTAACCTGCCCCAAATTCCAAAATGTCTCCCATTGATAAATATTGCTCTAAGAAATTCTATGGCATATTTTTATAATGTAATCAATAAAAATAAAGAAAAAATAGGGAGCAGCTATTGCATTTCACCCTTGTGTTAAATATATCCGATACGAATGTTTGTAGGTATTGTCTCTGACCCGTAGAAGTGTACAGTCTACTTAGGAAGATAGGTAAAAAGCCAACTAATGTTTTAAGGTGAACAATATCTTCAAATTATTTTCCTATTTTAGCTGTACATTTCAATGAGGAATTTGTTTGAAGTAAGTACACATGCCCTAAATAAGGTTATGCCTACAAAAGGGCTTCATGTGATAAATACCTGAAGAGAGGTTGGATTATTAAGAGGATGCCATCTAACATCAGTATTACATTGTTTCCAATACGTTAAAGTCAGATCTATGCTAAACGCTTCTCTTTGATATTTCTTAATTTTTAAGTGCTATGAAATTTATAAACAGATCTTATTTATTCATAAATTACAAAAAGATTTTTTGCATGTATAGGGATTTTTACAATAATCTTTTCTATTGCTAATAGTTAAAATCCTTATACAACTTACCTGTGCCAAACGTAATTCTGCTAACAAATCTGTAAAATTCTGGTTTCTGGTGGGCTCTTCAACTGCTTGAGACAGCAAATGACTTTTTTGCATCTGTTCTCTGATTTATTTTGAAAATAAAGATTTTTTTTACAAGGAACTCTTTTCAATACAAAATATTAAAAGGAATTCTTTTCAATAAAATTACAAGGAACTCTTTTCAATACAAAAAATTAAAAACTCTAATGGATGTTGGAACTATGTGAGTCACTGAAAATAAAAAGGTTATTTAATCTAAAGACTAAAATACCATTTAAAAGAAAATACATATTAAGGGAAATGTTTATGTTTACTCTAAAGGAACTGAACCCCTAGGATTACTGGTTTATTTAACATATAATTAAATAATATAACTATTAAAATATTTCCTAATTTTCAGAGAAAAAAAAATTAACGTCCCAGAAAGATGTGCTGCACTTTTCCTGTGGTGTTGTGTACTCCCTGCTAACATCATTCTAGATTCCTTTCTGAGAAACACAAATTGCCAATCATAGACATGGAAAATAACAAACAAAACCAAACACAGTCTACTATTTGTACCTAACATCAACTTTTCTGTTTTTCAGAGACATTACATAAGGAATTTAAGAATCCACATATGATCATCTAACCCTAATATACTAAAAAAAGCATTTATTTCATTGTGAAAGTTCATTTAGAGTTTCAGTTTGGGATCTTGGAATAGATCTTCTCTTTTAAAAGCTGGTCAGTATAAGAGGTGATATTTTGAAATACTTTATTAAAGTACCTGGGAAGAAAGCAGATGTAAATGCTTTCATGCCATTAGTACTATGTAGATTATGACATTTAGCCTTGGGTCACACTTATCAGGAGAAAGGAGCACAGGTTTTCTTTCTTTCTTTCTTTCTTTTTCTAATTTCCACGAAAGTGTCCTCGCTTGCCCAACCCGTGTATCTTCTACCTTTATCAGCTATAAGGTGTACCTTTTTCTATTTTTCATGAAAGATCAGTATGAGCTAACAGCAGCCCTGCCTCTTACATCCTAGGTTACCTAACAACAAAACAATTGGAAGAGATATGTGAACATAGCATTCATGACATTTATAGCCAAAAGACCTTCTTCTGAAAGCAGTCCTGAGTAATTATGTGTTTATGTGAAATGATACACAACTGGTAGTCATTTCCTAAAAGCAGATAGTACCCTAGCATGCCCATGCCTCTGGGTTCAACTTTTTCACTTAAAATGTTAAAAGTTGGATGTAAAACATTCAAAAGAATTTATAATCTGAAATATAATTCCTAAGTAGGTGCTGGTGCTCTATCAGCCCACCAACTCAAGAGGTTTTCCTTCTCTGTAGAAATGACTCAGCCAAACAGCAACTTCTACTCCCTGGCCTAGAGGATGTCCTTGGATTGCTTCCTGGGCATACTTCAGCCAGTGACAGCCTGGCTTGGGATACAAAAGCCTGCCACTCCCCAGAGGAAACCCCTACCCCTCCCTGGGGCACCCCTTGGCCAGTGACTAGCTGGCTTGAGAGCACAAAAGGCTGTCCCCTATTGCCGTAGGTGGGGACCAACTATGTAATGCAATCTGTTCTCCTGAGCGTCCTGGTGAGAGTGGAATGAAGCCAGTCTCCAGCTGAGACAACATTCTCACTTCCCTTCCCTCCTCCTACCCACCCTACCCATCTTGCTTCTTTCTCTTGATCCCATTCTCTTGAGAGTTATCCTCCAGGAAATCATCTCCACAAGGATTCCCATCTCTAGCTCTACATGTACAAAACCTGACCTAAGATAGCAAGTGATAATGTATTTTTTTAGCATTATTACTAATATGCATTACATAAGCTTCTCAGGCTTAATGACCTATCAAGAGGAATGCTGTATGTTCAATTTTCTGAAAGTGGTCTTAGACTCAAATAGCTGAAACTACAGTATAATACCAAAAGAAAAATCTATTAAATATTAAAAATATAAAAGTTACAAAACTGTAAATCAGTGTATAAACTTTTTCATTTCTAACTAAATGTATTATTAATATAACAATAAAGTGCTTAGAAACAGTCTAAAGTATATTTGGTTTTAAGAATTTAAAAAGGACTTACTTTAAGGAAGCTAACTCGCTGAACAAACTCTGGTTTTCCTTAAACATTCGTTCCTCATTTTTCTTGTTTTGTTCTTGGAGGTTTTTCACTTGATTATACAATTTTTCATTTTCCTTTTTATAAATAAAAAATTACATTTTAGTTAAAAGCCAGTAGTACCTCCATAAGTATATATGCTCATAACATATATATCTTTTAAACATTTTCAAGGTTTTAAAAATTTCTTGTTCTTGAATCTTTTTAAAACTCTTTATCTCAGAAGAAAACTTATTATTGAAAACAATACTTTCCAAAATGCTTACTCAAAAAAAAAAGTTGTGAAAATTCCCAAAGCCAAAGAGTGTAGTGTCAGTATAAGAGACTGCATTTCACAGGAGTAAACGGTGAGTGACTGCAGGAATAACCACATTACAATTCTGTGCTCCCAGATGGAAAGGCCAGTGGGACTATTTGCACCCTCTTTTTTGTTTTTAGTCTGGCTTCCCATGGTGAGGTAATTCAATGTAGCCACAATGGGTGTCCATGCTGTTTCTGGAAATTTCTGTGAGCAGGGAGTTAGAGACTGGTTGTTTCTGAACGATCAGGACAAGGCAGAGCATAAACTAGACCCAGTTCATTACCAGGCTTGAGCTAAAGAGTAACTCAAACACTGCGATCAGATGAAAAAAGTACCAATCTGTGCTTAGGTGCTCTGGCTTATTAATCTTCTTAAAATTAAGAATCTGATGAATACCAAGGACCTTGGAGGACCTAATGAAAACTAGGAACTGTTTAACCATGTCTGGCCTAGTGCCTGACAAATGGCCTGTGCTTAAATATCTGCAGAATTAATAAAACCTAGAAAAATACATAAATATACAACACACTGATATATAAATTTTGTGTTATATTTGTGGGAAGAGGTGGTTGGCAAACTTACAGGTCTATGAAATCCTCCTTAAAACCCATGCTCTAGCTGGCATGATTAGAATAGTAGACAAAGGGTTTGGAAGGGCAATGTGTCCTGCAAAATCAGTACCATTTCATTTATTGTAAATGCTGTAATCTCTAATGTGGTAATGCTTCCTTTGGGATGGCCCTGAATGACAATGCTTGTTATTGGTAGGCTCAATGCTTAGGCTATGGTTGTCAAAAGAGAAAAAGGTAATGCAAGGGGTAGGGGTAGAGTGGGGGAAGAAACAAAGATGAAGTCTCATGCTGGAGATCATCAAATGTGTCCTGGCTGACTGTCAAGTCAACGTCACCTAGATTCCATCACATTTCACAAATGTCTACCTTCTGTGGGACACATAAATTTTCTCAATTCAATTTTTTTCACTCAATTTCAGATTCATATATTTAAATATAATACAAAACTAGCCAATATTATCTAATGAAAAACATTACAAGAAACTAAAGAAAAATAGGAAAGTTTCTAAGGAACACAGCCATTAAAAGTAGTAACAGGCAACATTCATTGATTAGTTACTATGTGCCAGGTACTAAGAGATTGGTTTGCACTGTCTTGTTTTAATTTCACAACCATCTTATGAGATAGGTACTATTACTATCTCCATTTCACAGATGAAGAAATTAGTTTAGAGAAGTAAGTGATTTGCTCAAGGCTGCACAGCTGGTTGTAGACCTAAGTCTTAAACTATATTTTCTGAATCCAGAATATATGCTCTTAACCACTTTAATTCTGCCCATGAGAAATGTGCAGATTAGTCAAAGTATTACTTCTTCATGTTTGCCAGAATTCCCATTATCCGTTAAATGAGCACATAATATTTTTAACATGCCTGACTGCCTGATTCTTATAATATACGGTTTCACCATGTCTGGCCTAGTGCCTGGAGGATGAAAGGATCTCAAAAAAAAAAAAAAAAAACCTATGTGATGAAAAATCACCATACCTGTTGATATCCCTGAAGAAGTGTCTCTTGTTCTTGTATTTCTTTTTGGATTTGCTTCAATTTTTCTTCAGTGACAGGATCAGTTGTTTCTCCAAAATGTAACCACCTTTGTTTTCTGTTTGTTTCTCCAAAGCTATTTAACTTTGAGAAAATGCAGAAATTTTTTTATGTGGAGAAGGAAATGATGAAGTGAGAAGTGAGGAAGAATAAGAGAAAACTCAAGGTACATGGACCTAAAACTGTCTTGTAATCACACTGGAATTAATGTAACACCGCTACAGTTAAATCATTAGTGTTGTTTTGTGCTGATGGTTCTGAGGATGGAAATAACTCAGAAATGCTACATAATGTCATTCTCTGAATCTAGACCTTCTATAACAGTTCTTTCTGAATTGTCTTCTTTTGAAGGTCATAGTGAACTAAGGGATTTGTTTCAAAAAGGACTGCTAACAGAAGAAAACTATCAAAATGAGCCAATTGAAATTTCAATTTTTTCCCCCCAGGGAGTTGGATTTAGGCTCTTCTGAAAGGAGACACTCTCAGGAACCATGCTCATGTTTTATATAGCAAATATATCAAGCCAAACAGCTCCAGGAACAATGGATGACAATGCATTTAGCAGGAAGTACAAGTTTTTAAATAATAAAAGGAAAAATGGAACAATGTGTCTAGTACCTTGGTTTGAAGAATATAATTGTCTTGATTCAGTTTGAAGAGTTCCTTTTCCTGTTGCCTCTTTAGTTCTTCCATCTTATTTTCCAGCTCTCTCTCTTTTTCTGAGAATATGACTTTAATTTGCTCAATTAGGGCTTGTGCACCCCTCCATTTTTCCTCTGCTTCCTGAACTCTTTTAAACATAATTAATTCTGTCTCTGTGTTCCCGCCACAGCATCCTAAGGAATCCTTTTAAGGAAAAGTATTACTTCATTACAGATTCACAAATAAGATTCAAACAGAGGTGGTTAAAAAAGCAAACACAAAGAATTAAAATGACAAAGTTAATAAATAAAGCTAAATTAAAAAAAAATCACTAAGTATTCAATAAGAATGATTAGAATCTCATCCTTGAAGCAAAAGAAATATCATTTATTTCATTATTTGCAATTTAGCTTTAATTTAATTTCAAATCAGAAAAACATTATGAATATTAGTTTGAAATGCAATACCTACATTCTGTAACTGAACACAAAAATCAGTTTCTGTAGAGTCTTCAGACTTCTTAGGAGTAGCCAGGCTACTTTCACTTTTGGGAGCTGATTTACCCAATGCTGCAGGCTTGATGAGTTTTGTTTCAGATAAGATATCTAAGTATTGTAAACAGTAGATAAAAATACCACAAATGTAAACAAAATCAAATGTCTATTTAGCAATTATGTAACAAAAAGAATGACTACAACAGAAACAATAACGTAAATGATCTCAAAATAGACTGATGTATTACACTATAGTACAGCTGTTTCACTGAACTCAGAACTGTCGCCCATAATCCCATAATCAACACACTACTCTGTTAGACATAGAATGCTAATTAACCTAAGATTCATGTCAAATGCAGCTAAATAAATGTGAGAATGTAGACTGAGATAATTTTAGGCTTTATTACTTTTAAATTATTCTTTTAAAAGTTCACAGCAATAACAATTAAGAATGTCTAAATGATGAATCAAAGAGCAATTGATGACATTATGAAGCATTTTAGTTTGAGACTGTGTGCCTTTAAAGCAGACTTTTTAAGTAGTGTATATCAAGACAGTATATATCAATGGAATAATATATAAATGGTGTGAAAATTTTATAACAGCTAGTTTAAATCTGATTTAAAAAGATAAAATTAGAATACTGTTCTAATACCCCGAAAATACATATTAAATTAGAAAATAATGTAACTTCTGTATATTATGGTCAAACTTTCAGCTTTTAAGGTACCTTGTAAACCCCAAAGAGTAGAAATAATTCTAAGGTCAACGAATTATTCAGTTAAATATAAAAAATGTTTAAGGGAAATAACTAGAAGAGATCTGAAGGCCCATATTCAAATACTACAGATTCTGAGCTGAACACTCAGTAAACATTTATCAAGATGCTTAATTTTTAAATGTAAAGTTTACTTTTTCATTGAAAGGAAATATAGTTATTAAAGATTTGGAGAATAGGAAAAGTCAAAAGAAAAAACAAATCATCAATAGTACCTCACTTAAATATTTTAATCTTTTTCTCAGGCATGCAGAAATTTCCTTATAGAGTAATCATGTTTACTGGACTGTTTCATGTAGGTTTTCTGGAGAAATCCTTAAAGCATTCACTAAGAAACTGCATCACTGGAAAAGCAGACATGAATCCTTCCAAATCACTGGAGGTCCATTAATGCGGCCAATGAACGGCACGTGATCTGCGGGCACTGTGATTCTCTCTAGGACCCAGCAGCCAAGAGTGGCAGGTGATTCTTGTTCAGCTGTAGTCAGTCATAGCTTTTACACCAGAATTCTCCCTTCTTGAGTTCTTAATTTTGATACAGCTAAGTAATTATTTTCAATAATGGTATATAGACAGTGTTTTTTCCCTTTTCATGGGAAATAAAATATGCTTGGATATAAAATTCAAATATGAAAACACTGCAGACTTCAGAACCCTTCTTAAAGAAACAATGGATTAAGAAAATTCAGTCAAATAAGAAACTAATCAAAGTAATTTCAGAATGGAGAAGCTATGGATAGGGAACTAGTGAAAAGCATTCAATCTTTTAATAATCAGAACCAAGATCTAAATTCAAAAGCTGAGGGAAATTATAGTTGCGGGAGAGAATAAATGTTTCTCGGACAAGTAAAAATTTAAACCAACAAAAATAGGTAAGAGGCATGTGAGTGGTAGGTGTAAGAGTTTTACTATCTTTATATTTCACAGTGAAAACTGAAAATGTATAAAATTGAAAAATGCTGTTAAAAATGACAACACGTATTTGACAACCTTTAAGGAGTTTTCATAATCTATTTTGTTAAAAGGATCTTTTGGGATATAATATTTTATAGGAAAAAGTTTCTTTTTCTTCTTACAGATTTAAGTAAAACTAAATCTAATATTTAAAAAGAACTTGTAAATTGTGATCCTGTTATGTTCTGTCATTTATCCATATGTCTGCTTCTCTCGTCTTCCATCTACTCATCTGTGATTCCTTCTATCTGTATAACTACATACATACTGAGAAGCACGAAATGATGTTCACCCACTATGACATCAGTTGTTTCTGGCTAAATTATTGCTTTCTTCTTTTTTATTTTTTTGTATTTTTGAATTTTAATAATGAGCAACTATTCCTTTCATGACAATAAAATTACTTCAAAAATAAAAACATAAAGAGTTAAGAGCTACAGAAAATTAATACAGAATGAAAAGGTAAACAACCATACAGGAGGTACTGCTAGCTGCCAATCTCTTCTTCTTCCCTATTGACAGAAACCTAATTTTGCCCCTGGCACAATGTGCCCAGTTAAAAACAATCATCTCCTTGGACTCCATGCAACTGGAGATGGCCACATAATAGAAGTTCTGGCCAATAAGTTGAAAGCAAAATTTTCCTACATGGGGATTCCAGGAAAATAACTACTTTCCTTATTAAGAAGCTGACGATTTAACTTGTATTAACTTTCACCTTTCCTCATGACAGGGCCTGGAAGTTGAGTGATCATCTTATGACAACAAAGACAAAAGTCAAAGATTAAGGATTTTGCAGCAACAAAGAAGCAATCTGGTTCCTTGCAGAGTTGCACCAGTTCTGAAATGCCTATCCCTGGCTTCTTTGTTACATGAAAAAAAGAAACCTTTTATTTTTTCATCTTAACCAATGTTGATCCCAGGTGCATTCTCTATTCTGTACACAAATCTCCATCTCAGAGTCTGCTTCTCAGAGAACTAAGCCTGTTGACAAGTAACAACCATCTCAAAGAAATTACAGTTCTGAATAAAACTAAAATTGCTATGGGCAAATTCTCAATAAAAAGAGATTAAAAAACCATACTTAATAGTCTAATGGAAAAAAGGAGCTCAGTATAAAAATAGACAGCCATAGTTTATCGTGGTACTTTAATGTAAATTTTAGTAATGCATTTTATTTTTATTTGGTAGTCATAAATACTATACAATTTTGAAATAGGAAAAAATACTCATAAAAATATTGTTGCCTTCATCTGTCAACATCTGCATCACCCCTCATTTCTTTTCCATCTACGGTGACATTACTTCTGTCTTCATTCTTAGTAATTTCCATATAATCATAGGTAATCCTTTCAAACCCCAGGGTTTTGGTTCTCTATATTTCTCTCCACCTCAGCTATTCACTCCCACTAGGTATACTCCAGATCTTTTTCTATTATTAGTAATGCAATCATTCCTGAATCTCGGTCTTAGGCATTTACTCTCTATTAATCCCATCTCTTACTTTCTGCCCCACTGGGGTCCAGTATGTTGATCCTACCTATTTCAAACTGTATCACACCCCTTGATGTCCTTCCTTTCTTCATTATTCAGCTTAACTTCCATACACTTTGTTAGTTACCTTCTTGATCCTCTCTCAGTTCATTGTACTCACTTGGCAAAAAACACTCTCCTTGGTAAATTCAGCTATACAACTACCCAATACCTGTAATCATGCAGTGAAATGTGGCTGGACATGCACACACAAGTGTGTATACACACACAGAGACACACACACACACACACACACACACACTGCCTGGTCTCAATTTAAATTCATGATCATTAACTTCAAGTACACTTTCTGCTGCTCGCATTCTAATTCTCTAGGATAACTATTTCACATCTTCTCCAACATCCCTACCCCCATCTTCACTGCCAGCTAATGACATTGCTTTTTATTTCTCAAAGAAAATGGAAGCAATCAGAAGAAAGCATCCACCCTCTCACCACTTCTATCCACCTACCAGTATCTGCACCCACATTCTCCCCCTACCTAAAGCCAACCCTTCCAATGTATACTAGATCCTCTACTCAAAGACATGGCTCTAGCGACTTTTCCCCACTCTCCATCATGAATTTTTTTCCTGTCTACTGAATCTTTCCAAAAAGGATAAACATAAAACTCACACTATTATAAAAATAAAGAATAAAGCAAAGCAAAACTAAAGGTTTCTCTTGATTCCATTTGCATACCAGCTCCTGCCCATTTTTTCCCATCTTTTCTTTCTTCCACAGTAGTCTATAACTTGAACTATCCAAGTCTACTCTTCTATTCCTTCTATTTCCACTCAGTTTGCCTTTACAGGCACATATCGACAGAAATGGCTTGCCCAATTTACTGATTACCTCCTTCTTGCTAAACCCAAAGGTCAGTTGTCAGTCTTCACCTTTCTTTATTTTCTAGCTGCAATTGATAGAGCAGATCAATTCTCTTTTATACACTTTATTCACTTGGATCCCACATATTCAGGTTTCCTCTGATCTTACTCTGTCTTCTTTGCAGTTATCCCTCTTCTCCCTGACCTCATACGGTTAGCATGCCCAGGGATCAGGCCTTGGTTTGCCTTTTTCTCGAGCTATGCTCACTTTCTTGATAATTTTCATCAGTCTCATGGCTTAAAAATATTAGTTTTTTTAAACATCTCACAAATAATATCTACAATCCATTCCTCTCTCTTGAATTCTAGACTTTTATATCTAACTGCTTTCTTGTCATCTCCCCTTGCATGTAGAACAGACAGCTCAAAATGATCAACAAGATTCTTGACCTTTTCTCTATCCCGAAATCTGCTCTACCTTAGCCTCCCCATCCCAGCTGGCTATTACCTCCACTTTTCGTTTCTTAAGGCAAAAACTTTGGCATGATGCTCTTTCTTAACCCCAACCCATTTTTTTAGATTTTTGGTTCTATCTTCTTAACATATCCTTATCCAGCCACTTCTCATCACCTCCACTGCCACCACCCTGGATCAAGCCCCATTACTACTAGCCTGGATTCCTAAAATCACCTTCTACTTGGTCCCTGTGCTTCTTCCTTTGCTCTCTATGGTATGTGTATATTTTTATGTGTATATGGTCTATAACACAGCTGCCAGAGAAATTCATCTAAAGGGTAATTGAGATGAGGTCACTCCCATGGTCAAAACTTTTCAGGGGCTCATCTTTTCATGTAGACTAAAAGCCTAAGTCTTTAAAATGCCCAAATCTTTAAAATGCCCTAGAAAAACCTATATACGCTTGCCCATTCAGATCTCTGATCTCGTCTACTACCCTCTTTGCTCACTTTGCCCCTAGCTATGTGGGGCTTCTATACTGTTCCTTGAACATGCCAGGCATTCTTCCCCACTATAGGACTTTTGCACTGGCTGTTTTAGCTTTCTCGAATATGCTACCCCTAAATATCCACACAGCCAAGTTCCTTACATCCTACAAGTCTTTGTTCAAACAGCCCTTTCTTAAGGAGGCCTAAGTAAAATTGTGACCTGCTGCACTCCAACACTCAAACTCTTGCTCTACTTTTTATTTTTCCTTAGCATATAACGTTTACTTATTTATTATGCTTATTATTGAATGTCTGTCTTCTCAATAGATGAAGAGTTTCGCAAAATGGAGAGGGAAGGTTTCCTTGTCTATTTTGTTAACTGATGTATGTAAAGGGGCCTCTACTGGCGCCTGCACCAAGGTAGGTGCTCAAAAAATATTTGTTAAATGAATTCATTTGGATAAAGTAAACTTAAAAATTGTTGGGGTTAATTTATCTAAATTAAATATAATAAATATTAAAAACAAAATTTCATTTCCTTGCTCCCAAAAGTACAAAATGAATACTCCTAAATCATCAATGAAAAATTTTCACATTCCTCGATTCTAAAATTCAAGGAATGTTCCAAGTGTTTTTTTCCTAACAGTAAGCACTAGATCCAATGAGTGGTTATCAATAACTGAGTATACAACAACATCACAAGCAAATGTTCCACAGAAAAGAAAATAAGAGAACATAAAAGACTTTTTAGGGAAAGGGGCTAATTAGAGGTCCCTAGGTTAAGAACAGGAGAAAAGGATGCTTGTATTAATCCAACAGAATCATATTACTGTCTCTCCAGAATAACCAATCCATGTTATTCTCCTTTACTCTGACATAGATCAGCCCTAACCTTTTCATCTTATATGCATAGGTTGCTAAAGTGAAAACATATGCATAGAGACAGAAGGAGAGTCTTTAATGTCTAAAGAATTTTCAATACAGGTATTCCTTGAAGATATTGTGGGTTTTGTTCCAGACCATTTACCATAATAAAGCAAGTATTACAATAAAGTGAGTCATAATCTTTTAGCTAGTGGAAGGCCCTGTCTTCCATTTCTAAAAAAACATAACACCTGTGGAGTGCAACAAAGCAGCATGCAATAAAATGAGGTATTCCTGTATAGTCAAAGTGGTCCTGGAATTGACAAAAATAGGGAAAGGAAAGGGAAGACATTGCAAGCTAGAAATGAATTTTCCAATGAGGCTAGTTCTTCTCTTACAACTATGACCATATACCAATGATGAAATTGGTCACCTATTCAATTTAATCACAAAGAAAAGGACAAAATGTTTCTGGCTCTATTATGGCTCTCTTAAAAGTAGCAGAAATGTTTGTTTGACCTGAACACTTCTATTTCTTTTAATAGCTTCATGGGCTCTACTTTGAAAATTACCCTTTCCTACTGTCAATATAAATGACTACGTTAGGAAATAACAGAGTTACTGTGATGTATAAAAATATGCATTATTTGATAAATAAAACATCCTGCCTCTCCAAGACTATACTGCACTAATACCTAATCTCTCTGTCTACCTTTATTTGTAGGTTGCCATTTGCATTCTGAATATACAGCTTTTCTCTGGTAAACATTTTGTTTATAGAGCCAACCAGATGAGGGAGAGTTTGACTCTCCTACCTGATATTCACTTCCTGTATTTTCCGGGTCTCATTCAGGAAAAGCTAGAACTAATGACGAAAAACCTCATGTAAATTGAATCACTCAGAAATGGAATGTATACCTTAAGGTTAATTCTTTTCTATCAATAAAGAAAGTTCATAGGAGAAAAGGAAACAGGGAAAATAGAAAACAAAGAAAGCAAAATAATACACTACAGGTGACTCTTGAAAAATGCATGGGTTAGGGAAACCAACCCCTCTACGCTGTCAAAAATCCATGTATAACTTGACGTTCCGAAAACTTAATAGCCTATTGTTGACCAGAAGTCTTACTGATAACACAGTCAATTAAATATATTTTGTATGTGACATGTATTATATACTGTACATTACAATAAGGTAAGCTAGAAAGGAGAAAATGTTAAGAAAATCATAAGGAAATATACTTACGTTATTTATTGAAAAAAAAATCCACATATAAGTGGACCCATAAAATCTAAACCTACATTGTTCAAAGGTCAATTGTATATATACAGAATTCTATTATGAAAAGATTATGATTACCTTTTTTCTTAGCTTGATTTGAGGTGGGAATGGACCGCAAGTTTTTGCTTTTCATAATGTCCTTCGAAGTTTTCTTTTCGAGAGTAGAAAATGTCTTAAATGGTGAACTGGGTTTTCCATAGCCTGAGCTCCTAACTGATGCATATAATCCACTCTGGGGTTTTCTTTTAAGTAAAGGAGGTGCACTTCTGGCCTTCTTATATGGTACCTGTTTACCAATTACACCCCCTTCTTCTCCAGAACTAAGCTGAGATCTAAAAGACTGTGTACAACAAGAACAAACTGTTTAGAATTGAAATGAATTTCAACTACAGTTATAAATGGTAATTTAACAGATGGCAAACCATAGTGATTACTAAATAACATAGACTGTAAAAAGCAAACCACTACATTAAAATTCTTTAAGTCTAATTCATTGGAATTTTACTATTTTGAAGAACATCTTCAAAGCCAGGAATAAAACAATAAAATAAGCTTGCCAGAAAGCTGTATGTGTAATTACTAGAATGAACATGAGTATAGCATGGGAAGAACATATTTTGAAATGACATAAAATCTTTTTCCTCCAGATTTCTCAAGATAAAAAATTTTAATATCCTGCCCAACTTCACAAAGAATTTCAGATCGTTTATGGTAAACACACAACTCAAAATTGTAAAATAAAAATATTGGGAACATGAAACTATAAATCAGAATAGATCAAGAACAGAGGGAAATGGAATAGTGAAACATAAGTTTCTCAATAGTTGCTAATAGCATTTATATAAAATGTCAACTTAACCTACTTTTGCAGAACACAGACTACTATTACAATGAAAAAAAAGCACCAGAATGAAGAATAAACTTTACTTCATATGCTACTCAAATTGTGGACTATGTTTACCCCCTAAAATTGTTTTAATGGAAAAGACAGCTTCTAAAAGAAAGTTAATGCTATAGAAGTATTTTTTAATTTGGGAACTGCAGGTCGTAGCAGTAAATATATATTCTTCACATATATCCAGGATCTATCTGGAGATTAATATATAATCAATCCTACTATACTAAGCAGTATGTACTAAAAAAAAAAGGATATATTTATTAATTAATAGTACTTATATAACTTTATCAATATGTCAAATCAATCTGGATTATAAACACTTACTTTATTTATTTTGTCATCACGAGGTAATACTGAAGGACCAACAGATAGTTTTTTCCTCAAAATATCAAGGTACATTTTATCTATATGTTCTTCAGTAGTGTTTACTCTTGCACAGCTATTATCTGTATCTTCAATTGTTGTCTTTTGTAAAACTACATTCTCTTCATTTTTGTCAAAAAATTGGTTCACATTTTGTGGCTCTTGAGACATAACATTTGGCTTCATCTTAAGGGGTAAAGGGCTTACAATTTCAGTTTCTTCACTAACAGCCAGTTTCTTATAGCTATAAAACAAGTAAAACAAAACAGAACAGAGAATAAACCCTAAATGACTCTATAAATATCAGTTTTATTAACATATATATACACACATATATTTAGTATTTGTAACTATTCAAATAAAGTCATTAATGTTAAATACAATATTTACAATCCTGGTTAAGGGTATACTCACATAGTATCATGTAATTACTTTGAATTTCAGATAATAATTTTAATGCAGTATAAGGGATTGAGTGAATGACTCTAAGACCTACACATCAAAGAAAAGCCAAACCAAACAAGACTAAGATTGCTTCTGTATAAGAAAAAATAAAATATAAATTTCTAAATGAACTTTTTCTAATATATCTTTTAAAGTCAACATGAATTTGAAGCAGAAAATGGTATACATTTTGGTAGAAACTAATGAAGTAATCATAATTTATGCCAATGAGGCAAAGATTACAAATGTTAAAAAGCATAAATTTCATTACAGTACAGGAAAAATTTCAAAGTAAAACAAAAATCATGAGGATTTAGAAATAAAGTTTCTGTGGTTTATAACACTTAAATGCAATATAACATTTCATGCCAGTAGATTTGAAAAATATGGAAAATTTTCCTTAAAGAAAAGTTCTAAATGTGGTTAAACATCAACATATTATGAGGGCTCCAAGAATATAGATATTGCTATTTTCAAATTATTTAATCATGGTCAATTAAGTCTTTTAATTTTGTAATGATAAAATAAGATTACAGGAAAATTTAAGAGGCTACTACTTTCATGTAAGGTAGATTGGCTTCTCAGTAACTATTAGAAGCTTTTAAAAATAGATAGAATGACCAGAAAGTATAACAGTTCTTTCATTCCGCACGGTTGCAGAACCTGGCTAGATATTCACCAAAACTGCTTCCTACTTTTTGCTTTGCATGAGCTAAACCACATTTCCTTGCTACCATGCATCAAGATAGGATCATTTACTAGTTCCTGCCTTTAGAATGTGAGTGCTATGGTAACAAGAACTAAAATATGTGTCATTAGCTTAGTGGTGGGGTTTTGGGTCGAAAGGAAACTGATACTAAAGGCTGGAGAAGTGGCAACCCATGTTTTACAGTAGCAAAACATTTGCTAAACTATCACGTACAATAGTTTATAAGGCAGACAACATACCTACTGAGTCTAGGGTACTAAGAGAAACGGCCAGAGAAAACAAGAAGGATTTAAGTGCTAGCTACTTCTGGCTACTTGAACAAGATATTATAAGAAGGAGATGAGATCAAGTTAGGGTGAGCCAGTTTGTAAGAAGAAATCAAAGGGAACAGAGAGAGTCTAGAAACTCAGGGCCTCTTCTTTTACTCTCTGTGTCTGGACTCAAACAGTAAGATCTGGCACTGAAAAATGCTATGAGAAAACAAGATTTCATGAAACTTCTCAGTTGAAAAGACTGACTCAGACTCAGTTCCTTGGCAAAGATCATATTAAAGGTGTCATCTTCACACTTAAGATTATTGTTCCCAATAATATCCAGATAGCTTCGATTAATTCAAGAGAAAAACAAACAAACAAACAGAGGGACAAGGAAGCAAAGACACAAAGCAGATTTAAAACCTTTGTCTAGTACACAGGACTGACACATGGGACTGACTGGAACCCAAAAGATCAGAATCCTAACATTTCTGAAGGAACTGTAAAGGCAAAGAAACCACGACCTTATTTAAACAACAAAAAAAGCCAGTGACTGGGAGTATTAAAATAAAATGAGTGCCTCCTCCAAGATGGGTATATTCTCCCTTCAAAACCCACTTCAGTTGTGGTCAAGGGTAAAAAAAAAAATACAAGGCAAATTCTCTAAGGAGTGGAACTAGGAGCTATATGGAACAACATATTTATAAAGTAGTTCCTCTTTAAGAGCAATATGATGGCCTATTAAGAAAAATCCCCATTTGCAAAGTGGGGGATCTTTAAAAGGTCCTCCAGTGGATTTCAAGTAGCATTACCGTATTTTCCTTCTATTTTTCCTCTCTGAATGGGAATATCTGTTGCAGTTCTACCATTATACATTAGGTGGGGGTGAGGCAGTATATAAGTTGCCTTTTTAATTCATTGATTAGTAGACAATGAGGAGCCACATTCGAACCCGATGGAGAGCACTGCACTTCACTTGGAAATTCTCATCTTACAGATGGATACAGTCCTGAATGGGACTTTGGGCTCTTTGCTTTAGGGAGGAGGTGAGTGGGTCCGTGTGTAAAGATGAATAAAATGGAAATTTGGCTATTAGAAGGGTATACTCTGATTGAGACTGCCTATATGCCTACCAAACTCATTTTTCTTTTTGGGCACACAAGCAAACTGTATTTCTCAGTTCTCTTGGAATTTTGTTAGCTAGATGTGCTGGCTCTTACCAATAGAATGTGAGCTGAAGTGATGTAATACTTTTGTGTTAAGGCAGTTAAAATATGCTAACTCATCCTTTTTCTTTCCTACTGACTGCTTGAATGAGGGCATGACAACTTTAAAACCACGTGCTCATGACAGAAGCCCAAGTCCCTAAATTAACTATGTAGAGTCCCACCCTAACCCCACTGACACACATGAGATTACGATGTGAGCAAGAAATTTTTGATGATGTCGAGCTATGAAAATTTCAATGATTATGTGTTATAGCAGCTAGGATTATTTACCCTACAATTAGTTTACTACAGAATTTTTGGATACGTATACTAAAGTTTATATTACTGACATTTCTATAATTACTATTATGTCTTTAATGTAACACACCTGTTTTCAGCTTTTAAACATAAATGTAATAATCTATGTTTTAGAATTCACATTACTAAAATGGTTCCACCTATATTAACAAAGACACAACATATAGAAAATCTCTTCAGGAACACTAACATATGTCCAAACAGCAATGGTGGGTGAGCACGATCGGCCCTTTAAAAATAATAACTAGCACTGCAGATCAGTGGAAGAATCTTAGACTTAGCATTCAAGTAGATGGGTTTTAGTGTAAGCTTCACTGCATCATTTTTGCTCAACTAGTACAAATGTAGAAACAAGGCCAAGAAATCGCTGTAAGTGGATTTACATGATGAAGATATAGTACAAGGGGCTCAAAATGTGCCTATTGAAAACATAAATGAGCGAATGAATAGTACATAAATAAATGATAGGCTTTTCACAGAAATATTTCAGGGACATCAAAGATCTGACAAGGTAAGTGGTTAAGTATATGGACTTCCTGTGTCCCTAGTCATAGTCATATGACCTTGGGCAATTTATTTAACCTCTTTAAGACTCAGTTTTCTTATCTACAAAATGAGGATAATAATGGAATATATTTCATGGAGTTGCTGTAAGACTAAATAAAGTTGTGTAAAGAACTTTGCATAGTAGTTGGCCCACAGTAAGCATGTGATAAAAATGCTAGTTGTTATCACCACCATCATAATTTGGTTCTTCTGAAAGCTCCACCACTAAATTGAATTTATTGCAATTTCATCACCTGAATGATGGGGATTAAAGATGTCTGTTTTACTTGTATGAAAATCACATGGGATAATGGATGTGATACTCTAAGTGCTACAAATGTAAAGTTGTCTTAAGACAAAGTTATTGTGATTGCTACTCTGTGTATTGGAGAATGACAGTGAGGTATCCCAGAAGCTTCCACTAAAAAAGTACAGGAGCTGGAGTATTTTCTTGAAGCCTGTTTCTCTTGTGCCCAAAGCACTCACTCTGGGGATAATGGCCAGTCTATGACTAACTGCAAAACTAACTGGCTTATAAAGAAGCAAATCCATGACTCATATACAGAATAAAATTCATGTTCCTCCTCTTTGTTCGAAGCAACTATCCTTGAGCTATTTAAAGCTGAAGAAATTATAAGTGGTGACAAGCTTTAAGACTACTTAATGTCAGTAACTTTCTTAGTAGCATCTGGTTTTTTTTTTTTTAGCACTAGAAGAATTCTAATGAATTAATTAAGTAAGAAATAATACAAAAAGAAGAGAGCAGTGACTCACAGGTAGACGCATACAAGTTATAGATTAATCATTCAATAGGAATGATTATGTAGAACAACTGATCCTATAAGTTTTCAGTGACAAAACAACAAAGAAACAACCTGTATAATCCATTCCAAAACTCATACCTGACAGGCTTTAAGTCCAAACCACCACTGATCCCAAAGGAATCTATTCTGATAGGTTTCATCAACTCCTCTACTGTGGGCAGATCTAAGAGGGGAAAAAAGTTTAAATAGCAATAAAAAATGTTATGTAAATTACTTAATTTAATGTCTAATACCACTAAAATTTCATTTTCTCTGATTGACAGTTAACAAAATGATGTATGCAATAAAGCTAATTTCCCACTGTAGACTTGCTTATACTATGACAACTTCCATATTGATACATATGTTTATTTGATGTACAGATATATATATATATTTCTCAAATATATGTGTATGGGTACATCTACACACACACACTTATCTGCTAAATATGTATTTAGTTGACCCTAAAATACTGTTCTTTTAAAAAATAACTTTAGTATATGTACATGGAAAAAGATTTAAAAATATGAAAATGGTTATGTAATTTCTTAATTTGGTCAAGGCATATTGGAGGAGAAATTGAAATTTTATTCCATGTTCAGCACTAACTATATAGTTAAACCAATAATTTCCAGATTTCATTTGAACAAATCCTTTAAATAAATTCAGAGATTGAGAAATAATCACTACAGCAAACTGAATCTAAACTACACTAAAGTGGAAACTGTTCAAAGAGAGTCTCAAATAAGCTTTTACCAGATTCTGTAGTAGAGATGTTTTTGGAAGACTCTTCATTTTCTTGAAGATGACCTTTCACTGAGCTCTTGATATTTTCCATGGCACTCCTCTCAATTCTTTGTTCATCTGCATCTCCCAAAGAATGGGCTATATGACAATAAGCCTGATGGAGAGCTTCAATGTCACTATTGCTTTGTCCGTAAGAAACACCTGTTGAAATAAATGTAATGTCCAGTATAATCACACAAATATATGAGAAATATAAAACACTAACATCATTTCTCTATCTGTTAGGATAGAGGACAATGGTGACATGATAGAGTTAAATAAAAAACTAGGCAATATGTAGGTAAAGCCTACCAGTATAAAATCACAGCAAGCTCAAAAACTCTTTTCAGCAAGCTGAGCTGTGTCTTGACATGTTAATTATAAAATCTGACTCCACTATTGTCCTCCCTTTCTACTACCCTTAATTAACCCCTCAGCATTGGATAAAATTACTCCTAAATTTCTCAAACTGACACAATCATTTCCCTTACCACTACCACTCTCTCGCTTGGGTTCCCTGTACAACCAAGCATTTTGGAGTCTGCATTTCTTCAACTGAAATTTGCTCCTCTAACTTTGAAATTCAATATGTGTTCCAATATCCTGCTAAAGTTGCTACCATGAAAACCAATTTCCTAAAGACCAAATCTAAGCATCTAGTTCTCTTCAACACTATGAGACATTTGACACTATCCTTTTCCTGGGAACTGTTTCTTCTATATCCCTTCTTCTCCTTGTTCTTCCCACTAGTCTAATGGCTACTTCTCCATCTCTTGTGGCTCATCTTAGGGCTCCATCTTTAGCTTTTTTAAGCCTCTCATTTATTCATTTATTTTTGGGGGGGGCCTAATTTCATCAAGACCATTAGCTTCAACTATTATCCATATGGTCAAGACTCTCAACTGTCTTTTGTCCTTAATTTTTTTCTGAATAAAGACATTTAGGTTTTTCTATAAGTAAATCACATCTAATATACTCCCAATTGAATTTATTACATTCCCCAACAAAACTTGTTTTACAACCAGTATTTCCTATTTTAGCTAATGGCATCACTTTATTCATCTAGTCATCCAAAACAGATCTGATGCCACTGTTCACTCTTCCTTCCCTATTAACTCCCTCCTCCCACCAAATGATAAATTGTGAAAAAAAAGAATTAGAAGAATCTAATGACAATAGTGATCTAAGATTTTTGAGTATTTTCTTTTTCATTTTGTAACTTTCATTACTAACAGTGGAATTTTCAAAATTAGAGAAAAGAATAAGAGTCATAGGAAAGTGAAAAAGAGAAGAAAAATAGGGTGACTAGTTTCCTTTTCTCTTGATACCCATGATTAGTTAATGCTTAAAAATAAAACAGGATATACAACCCCATCTTCCTCTATATAAACTGTAAGTTGTATACTATATAACTCTAAGGGGCTATTTTTTAACTCTGAATGCAAGAGGCAACAAAATGACACATATAGAATTGTATAAGAATGCCTTACAATGGGATATCTTCCTATCTAATGCTTCAGGTCACCACTACTATTTGGAGCATGTTCAATAAATAAAGGAGCTTGATTAAATTAAAAATAAAAAGTGGGGGATACTGTTAGAGCAATCATTAACAGTTAAGTGGCAGGGACTTTCCAAAATCACTTGAGAAAAAATATCTTGCCTGTAATGGTAAGCCTGACTCTTGCCCTAAGCCATCAGTCAGAATTCAGAGTAGCATGACTGGGGGAGAGAATTAATCTTTATAAAGGAAAAAGGCACAGGTGTTTCTTCCCTTCTCTACAGAAATATCAGAATATTTAGGTATCTGCTGAGTACGTACAAAAGAAATGACCCCAAGGTTAAGTAGCAGAGCAGTACTGAATGTTCATGCTTAATTTATCAGGTGTTGAGTATCAGAAACAAGAGGTTCCAGGCTTTAAAGCAACAGCAGAGCAAACATGCAGAAAAACAAACAGCCTAAAAGCTAGAGATGAGAAATGGAGGATAGAAGGTATTATGGGCTGCTCAGAAAACAAAGCAGAGGAAAGATACTTTTCTCCTAACTTGAGTCATTAACCCAAGTGATTTTAAAATAACTCCAGAGTCATATAAGTTAACTTTTTTTCATGCATTTTACGAAGAGAAAAGTAAAGGCCTGACTTCTCTGCCTTTTACATTAAAAAGAGGGTACTCTATGTAGTTACTTTATGTATTAACACAAGTCAAAAGCTCCCTATATTTTCCCACTGAAGAAAGATGAGACATGTCAAATCTTATTTTGCAGAAGCAAGGGTCTGGTTGTGGAGCAATACTGTCACCTTGTGCCTGCTCCAGTCATGTAGCCACAGCACAAAGTGGTACTTGCTCATGAGACATATGAAAATAAGTGAAAGGCTATATCAGACCTGGTGTTAGGAAAACTTCATTTTTATAGTTATTAAACTTTTTAATACAAAAGCACAGATTTCATAAATAATATTTTTAAAAGATGATCTTTCACAATGTAGCGGCTAAACTAAGCCTTCTTAATCCGAATAGAAACATGGTAAAAAAAACAAAACAACAAACAAAGTTAAAGAAACAAAAAAAACCCCACTGATCTTTTCAGTTCGTAAACCAAGTTCGGATACTGATTTGAAGATTTCAAGTGGATTTCTGAAGTATTAGGTAATGCAATACCCTACAGCCGATTAGATTTACACTGTATGTTTTCAAGTTCTTTATTATAACTTGTATGATTAACAAATGATTGATATGAATTCTAATAATAACTACAGAGTTGCTACTGCTTATTAAATCTTATTAAATGTACTAGGCACTTGCAGCTGACCATCCAAAATCTTCATTTTAAAGAAGGGAAAACGGGCTTAGAAGCATTAATTGTCCAGTGTTACCCAGCTGATAACTGGCAAGGCTGGGGATATGAAACAAAGTCTACATGACAATAAGTTCATTCTCTACTATCCTCCAGAACATTTAAGAAATAACACCAAAAAACTACAGCTTTATATAGTTGCTTAGATTACCTTAAAAGAAGTTTTACTTTTAGAAATACAGTTTTTATTTTTGAGTTTTTCTTAAAAGATTACCTTAAAAGAAGTTTTACTTTTAGAAATACAGTTTTTATTTTTGAAATACAATAGTGGTTTTCATACTGTATTTTACAAAATCATCGTGTTTCAGAGAACATTATGGATTCCACAGATGCTTGTTTGAAATTTCATTTTAAATAGTGCTTTAAACCATAAACCTGTAATAGAAGTTAATCTACACATTCAAGTGTGCCATTCATGTAATGTGAAGACCATCTGAGTGATATCTTTGTCTCTTGCTGTTTTCATACATATCTTAAAGTTTCTCTGGTCATATTGTACATATATTAACTTTCTATACTGAATCACTGCAGCTCCACACTGGTCTTTTATAAGAATTCATGTCTGCTTACTGAAAACTGTGAAAATGGACTATCACAGCACATAAGTGACACGTACTTAAATAAACAGCAGTAAGCCTGAGGAACACGCACTCAGCACATGGTTTCATCATGGCGGAATACTTGGGTAATAATAAATGAGTAACAAGTCTTGTTGGAAAAATTCTGTTGTACTTTTTTGACTTTTCTGTTTATATTTTAAAAAGAAAATGGGTTAAATCAAGATAGTGTTGACTCTTAGAATGGCAGTGACTATAAAAAGGAGATCTGAGTGGACTTTTTGTAGTTTGGGGCATGTTTTTTTAATCTGATTCCTGGTTACATAGATGTGTTCAGTATTTGAAAATTCATCAAGTTGCACTATTATGATACATGAATAGATTTTCTATAGGTTATCATATTTCAATAAAAAAGTAAAAAAACAAAAATAAAATTCAATCAATTGCTTGGATTTGGTTAGCGACTGATCGATTCTATGGCTTTTTTCCCCACTAGTGTTTGGATTGGTTTAGTTGACCAAACAGGTTAACAGAAACTGGCAAAGCAAACTGATTAAAAAGTTCCCATTTGCAACTATTTATGTAGTAAATTAAGAATACTTTCATATTATACAACAAAATATACAAACATATTGGAAGTCTGATGGTGACAGAATATAACAAACATTTATAACTTCTGATTTCAAAAGATTTATTGCTCTAACTTTATAAGTAAATGTTATAAATGTAAACATTTATATTTATGCCAATAAAATACCATTTTCATCTAGAGAGTACTACATAAGTTTTTATTGGAAATAAGGATTACACTACTTTAAAAATGTTTGAAAAGGCATTGTCCTAAAGACCTTTACAACTTTTAATAAAGTCGAGATGGCCTAGGCATTTCAAAATTTTGGGATGTGATTCAGGTTTTTATTGCATGAAGGGAACTATGGAAAAGCACAAGACCAAAGTTTCATCTTTCCTACATCTGGCAAATTTAACTGAATACTCGGGAGGGGTACAAAAATTAGTTAATATTCACCTACAGTGCTGTACTTTTTATCAATAGTATTCATTCATTTATTAATAAGTATTTATTTAAAAACACACTTTACTTGGTTAACAAGCATTGTCACCATCAGCAAGTTCAGGTTAAGTTGTTAAATACGGTAGAAATGTGAGATTTAAGATTTTATTGCCAACATAGTTATTATACATATTATTATATATCATATATAAATGAAGTCAGTCATAAAATATTACATATTCAGAAAACGGTGAGTTTTTCAAACATTTTTACCTGTTGTCATTTCATTATCAGTCATTTCTGGCAGGGCCTTTGGCTTAGTTGTTGCTCTATCCTGTTCATCAAAGTTGACTTCTGCCACAGAGTCTAAGGAATCAAGCAGCACCACTGGAACAATATAAAGAAAAAAAAAATATTAGAAATGTAGAGAAATTTCCTTTAAGAAAACATTTTAATCATATTCGATCTGCGTAAAAATAAAGATAAATGCTTACATATAAAGAATATATAATCTAAGTAGCATGATTTTCTTCTTAGGTACAAGAGAATAGGAGTGCATCAGCATACATACCTATGCTTATATACAGGTCTAATATACATTTATATGTGAAAGGCAAAGGGCCTGAGAAAAATAACAAAAGGAATATTCATTTTCCAACTTTACTGAGGCATAGCTGACAATTAAGAATTACATATATTTATTTAAAGTATACAACTTGATAATTTGATATATATTATAAAATATTCATCACAATCCAGCAAATTAATATTCACCACCTTGTAGCTACCTTTTCTGTGTGTGGTGAGAACACTTAAGATCTCCCCTCTTAGCAACTCTGAAGTACACATTATTAACTACAGTTATACTGTTGCACACTAGGTCTGCAGAACTTATTTATCCTGCATTAACTAAAATTTTGTACCCTTAGCCAGCATCGTCCCCTATCCTACTCCCCTGCCTCTGGTAATGATCACTCTTCTGTTTGAGTTTGACATTTTTAGATTCCACATATAAGCGAGATCATGCAGTATTTCTTTCTGCATCTGCCTTACTTCACTTAGCATAACATCCTCCATGTCCATCCATGTTGTTGCAAATGGCAGGATTTCTTTTTTTTAAAAAAAGCCTGAATAATATATATACAAATATGTATATATATGTATACATATACATATCTATAGATATCTCTTTGAAATAGATATCAAAAATTGCTGGATAATAAGGTGTTCTATTTTTAATTTTTTTCAGTAACCTCCATACTGTTTTCCACAGTGGCTGTTACCAGTTTATATTCCCACTAACAGTGCACAAAAGTTTCCTTTTTTTCATCCTTGCCAGCATTTATCTTTTGTCTTTTTAACAGTCATCCTAACAGGTGTGAGGTGATATCTCATTGTGGTTTTAAACTGTAGTTCTCTGATGATTACTGAAGCTGAGCATTTTTTCATATCCCTCTTGGCCACTTACTTATCTTCTTTAGAAAAATGTCTATTCAGGTCCTTTCCACTTTGAGTTATTTGGATTTTTTGCTATTGAGTTGTATGAGTTCCTTTTTTATTTTAGATACTAACCCCTTATCAGATATATGGTTTGCAAATATTTTCTCCCATTCCATAGGTTGCCCTTTTGTTTTGCTGGTGGTTTCCTTTGTCGTGCGGAAGTTTTTAGCTTGCTAACAACAACAAAAATATTTAGTCCCACCTTTTTTTCCTTGTTGCCTTTGATTTTGATATCAAATCCAAAAAATCATTGCCAAATCCAACATCAAGGAGATGACCCTCTTTATTTTCTCCTAGCAGTTTTACAATTTCAGGTCTTATGTTTAAGTCTTTAATCCATGTTAAACACCATTTATTGAAGAGACTATCGTTTCTTGTATTCTTGGTGACTTTGTCAAAAATCGACCAAGTATGCATATACTTCTGAGCTCTCTATCCTGTTCATTGACCTATATGTCTGTTTTTAACACTAATACCATACTGTTTCAATTACTAGTTTTGTAAAACAGTTTGAAATTAGGAAGTGTGATGCCTCCAGCATTGTTCTTTTTTCACTAGATTGCCCTGGCTCTTTGGGATCTTTTGTGTTTTCACATGAATTTTAGGATTTTTTTTCCTATCTGTGAAAAATTCCATTGGAATTTTGATAGGGATTACACTGGATCTATAGTTCACTTTGGGTAGTATGGTCATTAAAACAATATTAACTCTTCTAATCCATGAACGTGTAATAATCTTTCCATTTATTTATGTCTGCTTCAATTTCTTTCATCGATATTCTATAGTTTTCAGTGTACATATCTTTTACTGCTTTTGTTAAATTTCTAAGTATTTTATTCTTTCGGATTTTTAAAAAATTTTATTTATTTTCAAGTATACAGTACAATGGTTAGACATCTATATAGTTCACAAAATGATCCCCCAATTGCTCCCTCCCTCCCCTGCACCTTCACCTAGCCATCATATTAATCCTAACTGCATTCCCTATGCTGTGCTCCCCATTCCCATGACCAACTATCAACTACTACTTTGTACTTCTTTAACCCTTCACCCCATTCTCCCAGTCCCCCACCCTCATCCCCTCTGTCCATCACCAAATTGTCCACTATTGTGAGTCTGTTTTAGATTAGTTTGTTCTTTAGATTCCACATATTAAGTGAAATCATATGGTATTTATCTTTCTCTGACTTATTTCACTCAGCATAATAACCTCTAGTGAATAAATACCCAGAAGTGCAATTGCTGGGTCAAAAGGTATATTCATTTTTAGTTTTCCGAGAAACCTCCATACTGTTTTCCATAGCAGCTGTACCAATTTGCAGTCCCATCAACAATGTATGAGGGTTCCTTTTTCTCTGCATCCTCACTAACATGTTATTTTTTGATTTATTGATAATAGTCATTCTGACAGCTGTGAGGTTATATCTTATTGTGGTTTTAATTTGTATTTATCTGATGCTTAGCCTCCTTGAGCATCTTTACATATGCCTATTAACCATCTGTATTTCCTCTTTGGAGAAATATCTGTTTAGGTCGTCTGCCCATTTTTTAATTGGATTGCTTGTTTTCTGGTTGTTGAGTTGTATAAGTTCTCTACACATTTTGGATATTAACTCTTTATCAGATGTATCATTAGCAAATATCTTCTCCCAAACAGTCGATTGTCTTTTGTTTTGTTGATGGTTCTCTCTGCTGTACGAAAACTTTTTAGTTTGACATAGTCCCATTTGTTTGTTTTCTTTTGTTTTCCTTGCCCAAGGAGATATATCTGAAAAGAAATTCCTGTTAGTAATATCGGAGTTTACTGCCTATGTTTTCTTCTAGAAGTTTTATGATTTCAGGCCTTACATTTAAGTCTTTAATACATTTTGAGTCTATTCTTGTATACAGTGAAAGAAGATGGTCCAGCTTTTTTTGCATGTATCTGTCCAATTTTCCCAACACCATTTATTGAAGAGATTGTCTTTGGTATATTCTTACCTTTTTTGTCATATATTGAGTGTATAGGCATGGATTTATTTCTGGGCTCTCTATTCTGTTCCATTGATCAATGTATCTGTTTTTATGCCAGTACCACTGTGTTTTGATTACCGTAGCCTTGTAGTATAGTTTGATATCAGGTAGTGTGATACTTCCAACTTTGTTCTTCTTTCTCAAGATAGCCTTGGCTATTCGGGGTATTTTTATGGCCCCATATAAATTTTAGGATTATTTGTTCTATCTCTTTGAAAAATGCCATTGGTATTTTGATAGGGAGTGCACTGAATCTATAGATTGCTTTGGGTAATATGGCCATTTTAATGATGTTGATTCTTCCTACCCATGAACATAGTATATGCTTCCATTTATTTGTATCTTCTTCAATTTCTTTTTTCAATGACTTATAATTTTCTGAGAACAGGTCTTCTACCTTCTTGGTTAATCTGATTCCCAGGAAGTTTATAGTTTCAACACAACTGTATATGGGACTATTTTCTTAATTTCTCTTTCTGAAAGTTCACCATTGGTGTATAAAAATGCCACTGACTTCTGAGTATTTATTTTGTAACCTGTTACTTGACTGAATTTATTGATCAGTTCTAACCGTTTTTTGGTGGAATCTTTAGGGTTCTTCTCTATAAAGTACCATGTCATTGGCAAATAACGAGTTTTACTTCTTCCTTTCCAATCTGGATGCCTTTTATTTCTTTCTTGTCTTATTGCTAAGACTTCCAATACAATGTTGAAGAGTAGTGGTGAAAGCGGGCAATCTTGTCTTGGTCTTGATCTAAGGAAAATGCCTTTCCCCATTGAGTATGATGTTAGCTATAAGTTTGTCATATATGGCCTTTATTATGTTGAGGTATGTTCCCTCTATTCCCACTTTGCTGAGAGTTTTTATCATAAATGCATGCTAGATTTTGTCGAATGCTTTTTCTGCATCTATTGATATGTTCATATGGTTTTTATCTTTTGATTTGTTATTTTGGATTTTATCTTAAATAGGATTGTTTTCTTTTTATGAGATAGCTTTGGTTTTGGCATCAGGGTGACCCTGGCCTCACAGAATGAGTTTGGAAGTATTCTTCCTTGTTCTATATTTTGATAGAGTTTAAAAAAGAGTTTAAGAAAAATTCTTCTTTGAATGTTTGTTAGAATTTACCCATGAAGCCATCCACTCCTAGGCTTTTAAAAAACAAATGTTCTTAAATAAAACAAAGATGGGCATAAGGGACATGTTATTAAGACAAACTGTGAACTTTAATTCATTAGAGATATTAAAAAACAAAGACAATGATTTATTCAGAATTATTTAGATGCAATTCTGAACCATTTTGCCAACTAAAATATATGAATATACACAATATTTACCATTAGCCAGCATGCCGGTTTTCTCTTCTTCCTAAATTAAAAGAAAATGATCATCTGAAATCAAAGTTATGTAAATTAACTACAATGGAAATAGTAACAAAATTTGAAATCCAGGAAACTTTACTCCATTATGAAAGATCAGGAAATGTTCTTTCTAGGTTTATCATCCTCATTCACTGATAATTCTACAAGACTAGAGATTGTAGCAGTGAGAGAACTTCTAAAGGTCTCTTCAGAACCTTGGCAATTATCAGGAATTAATTTAGGCCTTTATAAGCCTTGTTAAAGTATCTAGATGCCACCCAATCATCTACTCTACTCAAAAATTCATTGTTTTTGAACTCCAGGATAACATGTATACTTCACATACAAGTCCTGCTATTATAACATCACCAGTCATTTTTCCCTTATTGTTAAAAATTAATGAGCAAATATTACTTGCACTCATTGTTTCATCTACATTTTGAGAGACAAAATTTTCAAAAAGGTAAATTTTAACAAAATTAAAATCCATCAATATTTTAGGTTCCTTTAGAATAAATTTTCTAATTAGTGTTACCTATATTCTCCACTTGGATAGGCAGTATGTAGGATTATCCTGTTACAACAGAACTTTATTTCCTTCCCATTTTGATCCTCATCCAGATCACTCTCTCCGAGGCTTCCACATTTTTATGCAAGCTATTTTTTTCTTTATAAACTGCATGTTTTCCTTTATATTGTGCCTTCTACTGATCTACTTACTTTTCATAAAATATTGTAATTTTTCATAAAATACTGTACGATTAAATTTCTAAGGATATTTATCTCATTAATCTTTGTATAATTCTAACGTCATCTTGTTTTTCTACCCAAACTGTGGGAAACGAATACTCAAAGACAAAGTACTAGATAAGAATAATTTTCTTAAGAGTATTTATTAATACCCAAGAGTGTTCTTTACTTCTTTTTAGAGTTTATAGTTTCACACATACTCAAAATATTTAGTCCTAAAAGAGAGTGTCCAGATCAAGACCCATATAACAGTAATGTCCTACTGGTTACTATTGGATAGCTCAAGGATAAGTTCCATCAGGCAAGCAATAGGTTATAGCACCCTTACCTAGTTTTGGTTAAAATGGAGAAATGAGATCATTAGCGTATAGCAATGATAAATGTGAAGAGAATAATTCATGATCACAGCTAGCTAGGTAAATCTCAGACAGTAATGTTACTACTAGCATACATATCATGGAGGGGTATTTATTGTATTCACAAGGACAAGACCTACCAGGTAAAGTATAATTTAATATACCTGCTTAAAATTAGATTTGACATTTTAATTTTCAACTTCTAAAGCTTAATTTAAATTACTTGTCAAAAGAAATCCTTTAGAAAATCATTAATTGCCATAATATTTCATTAAGACGTATACTAAACTGACATCCTGAGTTAGGAAAATGTCTGAGTGTTAAGAGACGTAAAACTGTACAATAATGAGCAAGACTATAAAGAACTCCACATTTCAAGTTCTTCAAATAGCAACAGCTAAGGTGATGAAAAATTTCAAAATGTCAAATACATCACTGATTATACCTGTTTGGGTGCATTTATTTTTCCTGCTTTGGGATTTTCTTTAGAATTAGTCTCTTTATCTTTAGAGGTCATAGGTGCATCAGTATCTTCATCATCTTCAAAATCATCACTGTAATTTTCTGAAAATAATTTTTAAAAATATGATCATATTGTCAAAAAAGTCAAATTCCAGGAAAAGATTAATTTCCAAAGACAGAATTCTACAGAATAATAATTTATTGAAATGTTACTCATAAAAGTATCTTTAGAGAACAGATTTTTTTTTTTTTGGCAAAGCTTTAGTAATAATTCAATTCATAAGACTGTCTTAGGTATATTTCTTTTTTTGTACTTTAGTTATGAGTTTCATATGTTTAATCTTTTATATTAACTGACCAAAAATGTCTAAAGCTGTCCAAAAAATTTTACATCAACTTGAAAACAAACTTTAATATTTCTTTTTTAAAGACAAAAATTTCAAATTGCTTACTTATCAAAGGCAGCACTTTTGTGAAATCTTGACACTCTTCAAAGGTTGGACTTTGCTCATTTTTTAAGCTGATTTTTTTGGGTCTCTGGAGGTATCTCTCCTATAAGCCTTAAATAGTTGTTATGAGAGGTCTATCTCTGACCTACCTTAAGAAATACTGGCCCTATACAACCTGTTTCCCAATCCTGGGTAATTCTCAGCTAAAGCCCCAAATTACATCTCAATGGCTTTACAGCAGAGGGAAAGATATGTCCATATTAATAGGATGCCATCAGACTACTTATGGGAAAGACAGGGCAGGGACCATTTGGTGAGGAGGTATTCATCAACTTTTAACTTGTTCATAGCCCTCACAAAAGATTGACTGAGATCTGTAAACTGTAGAGGGGAATGACCTTTTCAGGGTAGAATTGAACATTCTAAAAAGAAACACAGTCTTATTTGTATTTCAAAAATTAGATCACATTCAGAAACAGGATGACCTGATGGGACAAAGTCTGCATGAGGTACTGGAGAGTCTGTTTTTGGAAAGGCTGTCTGTTAGTCTTCTCTTAGAATAGAGGGAACAACTTGAATGTAATTATTAGTAGAAGTTTGGGAATAAACTTGAGAGGGCTTGGAAGTTAAAGAGAGATGCTTCCAGTGAGATGTGCCTACAGAAACATTTCCATTTTAGTTCATAAGGAATACAAGGTTGGAACAGCATGGGCACTGTAACCGAGGTAGATTAGCTAGTTACTTAGTTAACTTTGTTAATATCTATATTCGGATGCTGAGAATCTCACCTTTGTTTCTCCTCCATATGAAAAAGAACACTAAGATTTTCTAAATATCAGTAGATACAAATTCACAAAACAGTTACTGAGAAATCACTTTGTATTAGACATCATTCTAGGACCAATATAAAAATTATTATGATTCTAATATTCTAGTTGGGAATCACTGAATTTTAAGTAATCTAAGAGACTGGACTTGCTTAAGATAAGAAACAAGGAGAAAGGAGATATGGGAGAGTCTGACAATGAACTGAGACTACCACTTGGGATTTGGGAACTACCTAAAATCAATGGAAGGAGATGTAGTACTTTTGACTGCAAATAAGTAGTATAAGAAACAGTGCAGGTAGTATAGCACAGTGCTTAAGCTCATGACCAGGAGCCAGAAGGCTTGTATTCACAACCTGGTTCTACTACTTTCAGCTGTAGAACTGTCAGCAGTGGTATGTTATTTAAAAGTAGACTCCAATAAGATAAAGATGCATATTGTGAATCACAGGCAACAAAGAAAAAAACACAGCAAAGACGTATAACAAACCAGAAGGAATAAATGAAATGCTATAAATACTCAATCCAAAAGAGTGCAGGAGAAACGCATAACAACAAAATGGAAAGGTAAAAAACAAATGGCAAACCAGTAAATAACCATTCCAAAAATTATATTTTTGTAAAGGGCAGAGACACTTCAAAGTCAGAGATTGTCAGACGGATAAAAAAGCCAAACTCAGCTATATGCTATCTATAAGAAAACCACTTTAAATGTGAAAAGACACATTATAAATCAAAAATTGGAAGAAGATATACCTCCCCAATCATGCTTTGGAGGTATTCGTCTTGGCTCCACAGATTTCCCTGGTCTTACAACAAAAAATCCTTTTTTCTATCTTTCCGACTTGTTCTCTGCACACTGACAAAAAATAAGGCAGCAGTGTACTTTTAAAAATTTGGTAGCTCAGACTGTAACAGGCAATTCGCTCTACCCATTCATAGCTCTTTCCAAGACAATATGATTTTCCTTTCAATTATTTTTCTATTCTCAATATCTTTATTAAAAACTATATTATCTTTTCAAATACCGTTAATTTTAAAACCAATGAAATTACCTGCCAATTCTTCATGTTTCGATTCATTCTCATGTTTATCTTCAGTTAGTTCTACATTAGCTTGATTACTGAAAAAATATTTACTTAATTTAGTATTACATGTTAATAATACATTTTCATGAAATCCTATATCTTTTAAAATCTCTATTATTATATACTTCTTCTCAAGTACTCTTGTTCTATTGAAAGTGCAAAATGTGGGGTCTGTAAAGAAAAAAGGTTTCTTAAAGCTTAATTACAGCTGCCAAAATACAAAGGAACAAAATGCCATGTTTTTAAAATTTATACACATACACAATTCTACACATAAATATGTGCATTTACATGTCTCAGGATCCAGATATCCTTCCTACCCTAAAGATTAGAAATTGACCACAAGCTATGAGAACCAGTGAAGCCTACATGGAAGCCAGAAAAAAATGCCAGGGTTAGCATTTACATGCTAATGAGCATTTTAATCCTGAAATAGGAGTTGAAAAGGAGTGTTAAATCAAGAAAAACTCAACAAGGAGATAAAGAACCTTGAGCAAGTTTGAATTATATTTATTAGTTCAGATACTGCTTACTTTCAAACCCAGGTATCAGTTCTTCCTTTTTCAGTCTGCCAACCCTGTTTTTAGTGAGATTCTTAGCAAATCAAAATATGTATATATAAAACCATAAAAATAACAGCAGCAGCAAACAATATTGCATAGTCAATACTATGCTGTACTCTGACTAGTCTATTTTGGAGCAGAAACAGTAGATAAGAATATTGTTAAGAAATCAGAAGAAGTTAAATATTGCAAAGGGGAAAAAACTTGTGACCAACAAACCTGTGAATACTTTATCTGTTGTCACTGGTAGGAGAAGCAATCACCATACGCCCCGAGTGTCCCTGCATAGGGATGCCAAGAACGCAAGGCACGGACCCCACTTTCTTGGGCCATTTCTCAGGCTTGTATTTGTAGTGAGTAACCTTGAGAGATGAAGCAATGTTTCTGGCCAAAGAGCTGGCTTGTTTCTCCTTTACTATACAAGCAATAGATTCCTCAGGTCCAGTGATCCTCTCTTGTACAGCAACCCACCAAATGCACAAACAGCCATCATAGACCTCCATGGGCCTTGTGCGGCAATTCAGGCAAATGAACCTCATACCCGAGTACTGCTTCTGTTGTGAGAAATAAAGTCCTTTGATTCTGACCCAGAAATTTTGTGTCTACTGTCGGCACCCATAAAACTGGAAGGCTAACTTGTTAGCTTCCAAATAGGGTAAAAACCTCAGACCCTATACAGTTTATGACAGTCACTGCTTTGTCCACCCCCTATTAGAAACTAAACATCTTGAGAAGACAAGACACTGTAATAGCCAGAAGTTGTGATTCTCCTGACCCTTAATATAATTACAGTACGGTGTACTTAAAATCTTAAAATTATAATCTGATTTCCATTTATAACTTAAAAATTAAATAAAAATGAAGCTGAAGAAATTAAACATATCAGGTTTCACAAAGGTCTTGAGAATGTTAAAGTTCCACCATGCTTACAGGGGACCAGCTCAGTCAACTAGTAGGATTTCCAGGATAAATGAGGTTTTCTGATAGTCATTAGGGTCAAATATACACAAAGGTAGGGCACAGATGAAACCTGTCTTTGCTCCCTGGTTCCCCGTTCCCTTTCTGTTCCTTTTCCCCGAGTTTCTAACAGCTACCTGCACTCTCTTATTTACCTTGTCTGTGGAAAATCACTTGATAAATTATTTTCCTAGTAAGGTCTTTTTGGCAATGTGCTATTAGTCTCAACGGTATCACGGACATGAAATTTCAGATTTCTGAAGTCAGAGTGGGCTCTCGAATGCAATATATTCCATTCATATAAAAGAAAAACCCTGATCAACATAATGAACAGAGAATAGAGGAATAGAGTTAAAAATAAGATTTTACTTTTGTCTGCTATAACATTTACCTATTTAAATCCACGTATATACCAGCTTTCTAAAAATAGAGAAAAACACAAAAATCATTTAATGATTAGTTTAAAATATTATATTTATATTACCTATGTAAAGCTTTAAAGTGTGTGGAGTCATTAGAATCCAATTCCTTATTCAATCTTGAATAATCAATGGAAGATGTTAAACCTTTCTCAAGTCTGGCAAAAAATTGCTCTTTTTCCTCTTGTTCTTCAAATGTGTCCAATCCCAAACCAAGAACACTATGGTTGAGCTCAGAAACTACTACCTCTAAATGAAAGCACAAATACATTTTATTAACATATAGAAGATTGGTAAAATTTTAATGACCAATTTACTGACATTATATAGTAAAATTAAAAAAAATTAAAACATACTTTAATCTTTCACCTATCAACATAGTTATATTCATAATCAATATGCAAGGTTACAAGGCTTCTCTAGAAGTGTAATTCTAAATCTTCTAGGAAGACAGTAAATCTATGTGCTTCATAAAATAAGCTCTAAGATAGTTGGGAGTTAATTTGTGTAAAAATTCTGATTATAAGCATAGTAATTTATCTGTCAACTCATATGCCTCACATTTCTTACCATTTGTTTCTAAGCTGTCAATACTTATAAGAGAGGTTCCACTGCTCTTGAGAAACTGAATCCTTTCAGCAGATTCCTCTTCTATTTCCATAATAGGCTGGGAAGTCTTCTTTGTTTTCAAATAGCTTACATTTGTTCCAAGCAGTCCTAGGGATGAGATTTAATACATTTGGTTATTTGTGCTCAGAAAATTATTTTGACCACTATGCCAACACAGTAACACTATTATATTAATTTTGTGGACAGTTGCTACAAAATAAATCTAGTCCATTAAATAGAAATCCATCAGACCTAAAATTCACAAAATAAAAAGTATAATTCTATTTGTTTACAGTATATTTAATTACTTAGAATATTTCAAAATTTTGCATAATGAGGGCAATAAGAGACAAGATTTTTAAAAATTATTTTGAAGCACAGTACTTAATTCAGTGTAACATGCCACAGTTTAAAGAATGTCTTCTGCCCTATGTGAAGGAAGAGCAGGAAATAACTACGTACTAAAAAGGGAGACAATTCCAGGGAATGGGAAGCAGAGGTCCACACTGAGAGGGACAGGCCACATCTGAGGATGCAAAAAGGTCAGGGAAGGTAGGTTTAGAGAGTGAGGGCAAGTCTAAGCCCAGAGCAAGAATCTATGGTCAGATCATGTTCATCTTCATGGGCCAGGGGTAGGGTTTGCTCTTTATTCCATAAAACATTAAAAAAGTTATTCGATATCAAAATTTCTTTATCCTAGTAGTACATATTTGTTGTAGGAAAAAAAAAATTGGTATGAGAATAAAAAGTTATGTGATATAAACATTAAGATTAGTAAAATATCACTTTTGCTTAGAAAGAAGCCTTATTAAGAAGTCACAGATTCTGACTTCAATTTCCTAATCAGCTTCCTCTTAGAAAGGGTTCAGAATCTATTTTATGGCTTTGTGTGAATAATGGCTTTATAGATCAGATAACTTCCACAGCTGCAGAAAATCAAGAGAGATATCTACAACATTTCAAAGGAAAAAGTGTATGCCAAGGTTGGATGCTGTGGGGTGTCTGTCCAGGGTCTGATCTGGCTCCAAAGTTGGACTCGGGGATGTGACCCCAACTAACTGAGCTCAGAAGAGACTACTGTAACTGAAACCAAGATCCAATTTTGTTAATTATTATGAAGAGTATAACCAGGGAGGATTAGATAGTTTCACCCTCAGGCAGAACATTTTATCTTTATAGCAACTGAAAGAAAAAGCAAATTATAAGGCTGGAGTTGCTCAACGTTGATGTTTAATGGTGTCTGTCTAAGACTGGTAATGTGTTCCTCTCAAGAGGGTGTTCACTTCTCCCTCAGAAGCTTCTATACTCTTGATAACAGGTATCATATCTTTTCTTTGTATACTAGTGCCCAGTACTTAGAACACAACATAAACTCAATAAAAGTTTTGACTGAACCAGCAGCCAGGTTATGTCCTTGGAAAGAGAAACCCTCTCCCTTATGTTTAAAGGGGCACAGTCAAAGTTTGTTTCCTAAGTATCCAGTATCCTACTTTGCATCTTTTACTAATCAAATCCACTTCTGACTGAAAATTATTTTTAAAAAATTATTAATACTTTTAGTCAGGTTACATTCAAGTGCTGGTCTAGGACCTATTCTTTCTCTTTGGGGTAAGTCTGCACATTCCATCTCTAATTACTTTCTAGAACAGAGGCTTTAATGCTCATTAAATCTAAAATCTTTGTCAACAATTCCAATAGTACTTCATCATTTAATAAAAAAGAATTCTTCACATGCAAACGTTAGCATTATTGCATGGTTGGGCGATTTATAAAAAAAATACACAGAAATTTTCAATAAGGCAATTCCTTATTGTAAACTATTAAGAAGAACAGAGAAGTGATTACCAAATTCACTCTAACATTCACTTGTTGAACACATTTATTATTTACTATTGAGGATCAGAGAATATAAAAAAAAAGAAAGTGCTTCCTGCCCTCACAAAGCTCCCAATCTCGGGAGTAGCCCTATGGCTTATGAATATCAACATGATGTGTAAGTGCTATTGTGGTGTTTTGCCATGGAAACAAAGGAAAAAAATAATTGTGTTAACAAGGGAGCTAAAAGAGTTCAGGTAGAACTGCAAAAAAGAGGAAATGCCAAGCTTTACAGAACAAGAAGGATGAAAGGAAAGGCATTTTAGTGGTAAGAAAGCATGAGGTAATGTACAGAGGCATGGAGCCAATGGTGCTGCCAGAAGATAAGGAATAACTGAGTGTGGCTGGAGCATATGAGGCTAGAAAGGAGGATTCTAATCAGATTATACAGAGCCTTAACTGTCACATTAAGGAAATTGAGCTCAATTTTATAGGAAAAAACAAAAGTCAAGGGTAAATTCTTCCCTTATGGAAGACACAGAAATCTCTTCAGTTTATAAAGTGGTGCTTAACGATCTACAAACAGTGTGAACATAGAAGTAGTCTGGGGTTCCTTACAGATACAGCAGCATCATGTACAGTATGCTGAAAACACTCCAGAGAGTATTTTCCATTTGTAATGATTTGATAAGGAATAGTTCTGAGAAAGGTATACACATGTGCTAGGCAGATCAATAATGAGTTCTCTATCATGAAGGCAGTAAATTATTTTACTACTGTTATTAACACATTGATACCAAAATCTATAGATTTGTTAAAATCTTCTCCATGCAATGACATTGATATATTTCAGACTATTTTATTAAATCACCTTAAGTCAATTTACCATTAAACATGATTATATGAATATATCTATATTATTCATCACCTTAATTTGATTAAATAAAAATTATCTCAATATAAAATAACCTAATGCAGAAACAGTCTCAATTATATACTCTATAATAAAGTGAAGTAATAGGAAAGTCAATTTAAACCTCAAAAATTCATACTATTAGTATTATTTTCCTTATATATTTATAGTACAGTAACAAAATACAGGATTAAAAGTCTTTGACTGACCCCTTGTGGTCAAACAATTTGAAATGAAAAATAAGCAATATTTACCACCATCTTCAAAATCATCTTCAGTTATCCACCATGGCAGTGTATCTTTCTTTTTCACTTCTTTTTTAGGTTGTCCAGGCATTTTGTTTGAATTTTCAAAAGAATCATCTGAAAGCTGCATCAGATATGATACTGAATTTTAAATTTGAAAATCCCAGATTCATCACTAAAAATGCTGTTTTTGGTCGTCTCATAGTTCAGCTATCATATATAAACAATATTCTCAGCAACAATGTATAAACTCATATTTGTAGACATATGTGGCCAAAATAATTTAAAAATCAAGCATATGTCTCTGAACACCAATTTCATACCCATAATTAAACAAGTACACTAACTAGGGAGAAAAACATCAACAATAACAATAAAGAAACAAAGAAAACTTGATCAAGCAACTTAATCAGGACAGAATTCAAACTGAAGTCTCTAAAATCTGTCCACTTTCCACTACATTGTGTAGTTCCCCAACTAGGACACTGCTACCAGAGTGACCTTTTAAACTTCCAAGATGACAACACACATTTCCACCTACCAATCAAACAACTCTACCTCAATGACTTGAAAGAATGTCAACTCAAAATGTTCAAAAATAACTCATTGCCTTCCTGACAACTAGGCAGTAAGGGAAGAAAAAAATAATTCTTTATTTCATCTGGATTTTAGTTGTGTCAGCTTCCGTTCAGGCTCTAAACTTCACTATCACCTTGAAATGTTCTTTTTCTTTCTTCTCCCTACATCAGAGACTCAGTCTGCAACTAAACCCCATGGCCACATAAGAGTACGAAATAAGGAGTATAGGTTTTGCAGGTCTGATAGGTCTGAGTTCAAATTTCCACTTTGAAATATAATAGTTCTGTTGCTTAAGGAAAATTACTCCTCTTTTTAGTTTATTCATCTGTTAAAAATAGTCATAGTCGTACTGACCTTGCAGGGTTGTGGCAAGAATCAGAAAAAGAAATGGAGAATGCCTACCCTACTGTCTAATACATAGTAGGCAGTCTCACTTTTGACAATCTTCCACAGTGCTTTCCAGATTACTTTCATTAAAAACCAAACAACAAAACAAAAACCTGGTCCCCATATAATAACAGTGCTAGCAAGGATATGAATAAATTGAACCCTAATATGTTAATTCACTGCTGGTAAAGGAATGTCAAATGGCATAGCCACTTAGAAAAGTCTGGTGCTGGGCTTGGGGGTGAGGAAAACAGGAAAAGGGGCTCGTAGTTAAAGGGTACAAAAAAAAACAAACAGGTCTGACAATTCTTCAAAAGATTAAACAAACATAGAGTAACCGTATGACCAGCATTTCTACTATTAGGTAATACACAAAAATGAAAACATACTTCCACGTAAAAACTTGTACACAATTGTTCATAGCAGCATGATTCATAATTGCCAAAAAGTGGGAAGAATTCCAATGTCCATCAACTGATAAGTGGGTAAATGAAATGTGGTAAATCCAGACAATGGAATATTATTCAGCTATAAAAAAGAATGGAGTACTGGCATATGCTACAACATGAACGAATCTTTAAAACATTCCAATTAAACTGAAGAAACTAGTCACAAAAAAAAATATAGTATATGATTCTATTTCTATGAAATGTTTATAATAGGCATATCTTCAGAGACAGGAAGTAGATGAGTGGTTCCTAAGGCTGGGGCAGGGAGTAACTGCTAATGGATACAGGGTTTCTTTCTGAGGTGATGAAAATGTTCTAAAAGTGATTGGGACTCAGAATATATTAAAAACCATTGACTTATATACTTTAAATGGGTAATCTATATGGTATCTGATATCTCAATAAAGTTGTATAAAGAAAAGCTGGTCCCACTAATCTCCTTAAAAACAAAGATATGTAAACCATCTTTGAACAAACTGTTTGAATAATAATTTATCAAAATGACAAGAGAAGTTAGCATGACTCTAAAATCATAGTTTTCATTGTTAAAAATGAGACACTGCCTTACCCAAATCTCTAACATAAAAGCTTTTATGAGTGGAGGTAAAATATGACAGGAAGGGCTTAGGGAAGGAAAGAGGAAAGGAGAAAGTGAGGGGTAGAGGGAGTGCTGGAGGGGTGGTAAATAAGGGGTAGAAGGAAAAAACTGACCTGTACTGCTTTTTATCTTTTACAATGAAAATACTTCCCATAAGTTTAATTTTCAAAATCTTTGATATAAAAAAATCAGTTTTTCAAATGGGAAGTGAGACTCATACCCTGAGTATCTAATACATCCTGGTGATTGGTAGATGTTTTTTAAAATCCTTACAACAATTCTACCAAGTAGGCATATTTTGCTTATTAGATAATGCAAATGAGATTCTTTCTACTACATCGTATATCAAACTCCCTTTATGTACAAGAATGTCAGCATAATAGTTTAAAATGTGACTCTCCTGAATGCTCTACTAGGCTTCTCCATTTATATAAATACATATGATATGGTTGGTGTAACCCTCTATTATTCATTCGGCAAACTCTTATTAAGCACCTATTAGGTACTGCTGGTATACTTAATACTGCTGGTATTAAGCACCTATTAGGTACTGCTGGCTATGAACATATAGCCATCACATCACAGACCATACATTCTTATAATGGGAGGCAGAAAACAGACCTATATAAGTAAAACAACAAATGGTGCTAAGTGCTACATAGAGAATTAAATACATGGTATACTAAGAAGTGACTTGGTGGTTACTTTTTTATTGGAGAACCAGAAAAAAAAAAACTCTCTGAGTAGTGATATTTAAGATGGGATCCTTTCCAGCCAGGTGAAGAATAGGGCAACAGCACTATTGGCAGAAGGAACAGCTAGTGCAAAGATCCTAATGTAAATGAGCTTGGCATGTCTGGGGGGAAAAAAGGCCACTGTAGCATAAGTGGATGAGGAGGAAGAGTGGTATAAAATCAGTGAGGCAGACATGAGTAAATTATCCAGGGAAGGAGTTTGGACTTTTTATCTACAGGTGATGGGAGGCCAATAGAGTATGTTTTACATAGGGGAGGAACAAAGTCTGATTCATGTAACAGATAATGTTGGCTGCAAGAGTGGTGAAGGAATGCTGAGACAGTACTTGAGAACTGCTGCAGTAGCTCAGATGAGATGTTGGTGTCCTGGACTAGGATATGGCAGTTGACAGCACTTGGTGATGGACTGATTACATCTTAGAGGTGAAAGACAGAAATGAAAGATGAGTTTCTCATGAGACAAATTTACAATATAGCTTTTAAAAATATAAACTTACCTCTTTGATAAACTGTTCAAACTCTTCATCCAGGTCTTTGGAATAGTGAGCCATACTCAAAAATTTTCACTTCCCAAAGTAAACATTCCAAAGTATTTACAACACTGGAAACACTAAGTAACAAGAGATAATAAACATCTTTTGAGGAAAGCCGCATCACATCATGAAAACAACCAAACTTAAACCTCAGACATTGCTCTCACAATTTAGTATATATGTACAATTTTGGGTCGGTAAGCTGGACAAGAGATTCCTAATTCATACATAAAACTGATTTAGAAAAGCAGCTTTCACAGTCTGCCTTGTTTTAGGATCCAGAAATACACATTTTTATTGTTAACATCCAATTATTAAAGGTGGCCTCCACAATATTTCCTAAGCCTATAGTATTAGTGTGTTAAAATTTTACATTCTTTAAACAAACCAAGTCATCTCAAGAAATCTTTTAAAAATTATAAATTAGCAAATCCAAAAGTCCATTTCTTTTGTGCAAAGCTCAAAACAGAGTTTGTGCTGCATTATCATTCGGTTAGTTATTTATCAATCCATATTAATTGTTTTTCAAAATAGACTGTTTTCAGATACGGGGACAAATGGAATGAAATGGAATTTATTAAGACTCAAAATCTACCTCAAATAAAATTAATGGAGTATACAAATCAATTAGAATGAATTGCTTCTTTTGAAGAGAGGGGAGGCCAACAAAAACGATGCAAAAGAGACTCGCAACGCAAAGCTCTCTCCCGCCTAATGAACTCCAGATCTGCCTCAGCTTCTGGACTGCAACTCGACGCACCTAACGCCACACCTTTTCGCAGAGGCAGGTGAGAGGGGATGGATGTGGAGACTCGAGCAATACTTTGCCCAACGTGCGGAATAACACCTTCTTCCCCTCATTAACATTTCTGATCAGTTCAAGGTGTATGCGGTTAAGGTTTTGGCCCCAAATTCTTGGTCAGAGGCCGATCCCACCGAAAAGGTCCTTGGCTAGGCGGCGTCTCGGCTCCAGGAAGCGCGGGTTCCAGAGTTGGGGGGAAGACAAAGAAGCACTGCAGCGGAGTTCGGGCGGACCAGGGGAGTGACCCAAAACTAAGCTGAGGAACGGGTCTGAAGAGAGTCTCGGAAACAGTGAACCCGCTAGGAAGCAAGTGTCCACGCCTCACCTACCTTCGCCTCCGAATTCCGCGCTCTGCCGGAAAGTCTGCCCGGGCCCCGGCAGTTGTCAGGGTAACAGTCTTAAGCCACTGGGCTCCGGAGTCACGTGATTTGGGTTGGTCGCAAGACTCATGGGCCCTGCAAGACAGCGGTTAGTGTCTTCTTGCCTCAAAAAGCGAAAGTTGAAACGGCTGCGGCTCAAGATACTCTGGTGGGTAAAGAGCCGTCGCTGCTGTACCAGTAGAGATTCCGCGGCTTTCTCTACGCTCCTTGGAAAAGTGGATCCACGGACTAGTCACAGGAACAGGAACACAGGTATGATGGGTGTTGTAGGCCCAGCCCGTGGCTTCCTGGGAAATGTAGTTTAGCTCCCCTAGTTCTTGTATTTCCGCGCTTCTTAGCGCCTCTTCCTAAACTTACCCACCCTTGTCCTTTCGGCTCTCTGCTTTCCAAGCAGAGGTTTTGAAAACATTTAATGTATTGGATTTCCTCCACGCGCGAAGCCCTGTGTGGGCATTTGAGAGAAACAAATCTGTGAGAAAGAACTCTGTTGTCATGATAGGGACACTGTTTTTCCATCTAGTGGGCAAGAAATTGAAAATACCCATAAGCACCCCACCCGCTATACCTCCTTCCCCCTCATTCTATAGCGGCATCTTACAATTACTTTCTTGGATTTTCATTTTATTTTACTTTTGCTATTTCTTCCTCTAAAAAAAGAACACAAGTTGGAGTTTTAGAGGACAGCATTTAGGATACTGAAAGTAAAACCGACTGTAATTGAAAGGATTACTGGTGGCAAACATAAGGACATCATCATCTCCAGCCTGAATTTCTAATTCAGCATGTGTTTATTGTAATACAAATATGTACATACCAAGAGCTGTGCCCTACGATAGAGTTGAATAATATAGGTTTGTTAAAGCTACTATTTATTGAGCACTAAGTTGATAGGAGCTTCACATGCATTATTTCGCTTAATCTTTGTAGTCTACAAATCAATTCAATTCCATTTGTGTTTTGTTTGGTGTAGGTACAAGATAATGATAGGTTCCAATTCTATAGCCCACTAGGCTCCTTTTCCACCCATTGCTACTAGTAAGCTTCTTGCAAATCACATTTTCTTTACGTGAATATACACATATATATATGCATTAGCCTCGGATCTTCTTGGCCTCATCTTTTACTCTAGCTACAACTGCTTGGACCTCTTCCACTTAGTCTTTGACCAGCTTCACACAGGTGTAACTCGGCTATGTGCTTGCAGTGAGCCTGCCCTGTAGACCTCTTACTCTCTGATCCTGGGGCTTCTCTGATCCTTGAGGGAATCCATTCAGCACTCAACACTTATAAGCTGGAAATGTGGAGACTTAACCTTTATGGACTCATCCTTTATCAAACGAAGTTGGAACTGATAAATAAATGATCCCCCTTTTCAATCCTTGGGAGGACAGTATCGATACACATTTCATGAGACTTTTCAGAATGTCCTATGTGATCCAGAACCAGTTGTTCACAGCAGTAGACAACTTGATAATACATTCCTGTATTGGCTTTTCATCCTTCTCTCTGTCATTCTCCTATTCATCACTTTTGCCACTTGGCAACCCATCCTCAAGTAAACTGTTGTCATGTAGATCTACGTCTCACGTTCTGACTTCAGGAAAACTGTGGGGAAAATAGCTAGTATCAGGATTAGCTCTAGAAAGCCAACCATTAGAATGAGATTTGGGAACTGGAAAACCCACCAGTCAGATAGCAATGAAGATCTCACTGTTAACGGGAAATGAAGTGATGGTAACAGGTGTCACGCAGCTACTAAGATTCTCATATGAGGTTGATTGGGTAGAGGAACGGGGTAGAGGTGCTGGTGGAAGATGAAGGGTTGACTCATACACTCACCATTATATGAGATTAACATTTCCTGCAGCTTCAGGAGAGTCTGTGGTGAAAATCAGGCTCAGGATCAAATTACAAAGATAGCATAGCTACAAAGGAGACTGAAGGCACAGCCTCTTTGGGTGCACTGAGTTAGGGCCCTGGTAGAAAACAATGTAATCTTGAAATCTGGAATATTAGCATTTGAGTAGATGAGTGGGGATCACTCTCAGATTTCTCCGAACTCTCCACACTGGCAGAAGCAGTTCTATTCTCCTTGCTAAAAGAGAGCATCCTCCTATTGCCTGGAGATCCTACAGACTTAGAGGCCCTTGTGTGAGGAAGGTAACTCACAAGATAATGCTTGTCCTTTTCAGGATCCAGCCCTGCCACCACCACTTCATGTCAGTAACTGGGATCAGATCTCGGACATCTGAGCAGGGAAATGTAATCCTTGCTTCAGGAGGAAATGATTTACAGTAATCACAAGTCTCACAGTTATATACTAAAAGGAACCAGGGGGAACACATGTAGGAATCAATCTCAAGATGTTGAACTAGTAGAGGGGATAAAATAAGGCAGCATAGAGAAGAATTTATTGACATAGGAACACTCACTCATGAAGGGTGTTCAATATCCTAGCAAGAACACCTGGAGCTGGTCCTAACATGCTGCGGAGATGTTTCCTTGAAGGCTGGATGTGATAATGGCCAATAAAAAAAATTAGGTAGAGATATTGAAATTGCTTTGGCATAATATAAAGAAAGATGTCAGGAGGCTCGTGGACATGAGAATATTAGAGTGGATTTGTTATGTGATATCTGGAACCTAGCACCTGACTTTGTTCCCTGGGAAGATTCATAGGACATTCTCTTCAGTAAGGCAATAAGGAATTCACTGGTGAGGGGGCATTGACACCTTTGAAAAAATTTGTGATGGCTGTCCTCCACAGGTCAGGGTTAGGAGTAGATGTTGCTATGGAACTAGTCAATACTGAATTATCAGAGACAAGATGGATGTCATTACTGAAATTGGTAGAAGTCTATAGTAGCAATCAGGTTGCCTTGACCTGCAGGAATCTGTGGCAATGGCTAATAAATCACAACATTTTGAGGGATGTGACACATGGACAGTTGATTGGGTGATTACTTGACATGTATATGTGTGTATAACAAAAAAATAATAACAAAAATAAAAAGATCCAGTAGGCAGAATATTATCATTGGCTATCACAATGGAAAATCCAAGTTTTAGATTTATATAATTTCGCACACCTACATCTCGTTGGTTAAAAGGGAGGCTAGGTGCAAAAGACTGTAATATCACAAGAATAATTATAAACATTCTTCCCATCCTTCCACAGAGGGCTCTATGGCCATTTCTCAGAGTAACATTACATCAAAGAAAGAAGAAAAAATTTGGGGGGGAACTTTAGATAAGGGGTATAAGCAGACACTAATACCAGAGGAACAGAAAAGCCACCATGATCCTCAAGTTATATTAGGGACATATGGAGGCTAGCTGAAAATTAGAAAGAAAGATATTAGACTTTTCCAGAACTGTTGGATAAAGGGCACAAGCTGACACTGATGCCAGGGGACCTGAAATACCATCATTGTCCTCCAGTTAGAGTAAGGACATTTGGAGGCCAGGTAAAAGAGTTCAAGCTCACAGAGGGTATGAAGGGTCTATGGCCCACCTTGTGATTGTCTTCCCAGTCCCCAAATGAATAATTAAGATATATATAATTCTGAAACATACTTCGTAATTGGAAAAACTCTTATGTTGGTTCCCTGATTTGTGGAGCGGTTATGGTAGGAAGAAACAATTCTTGGGAGGAATGACAGAGATTAGTATTACCATTTGAAGACTTAAAGGATGCAGGGGTGGTGAACCCTGCATATTACTCTTCGATCTGTTTGGCTCCTGCAAAAAAAAAAAAAAAAAAAGTAGATCTTGGTTGACAATGGACTACATTAAATGTAATGAAGTTCTAACACCAATTTCAGCTGCCATGTCAGATATATTTTCCTAATTTGAAGAGATCAATACATTTCATAGGACTACTTATCTGGCAAATATGATCATTTAAATTCTCTTTGGAAAAAGCCCCTTGCTTCCTCCCCTGGAACTTTTCTGGCATAGAAGTATGGAATGCCAACTGAATTGCCACACATGTGCAACCTACAAGTGTTTATGCAGTAGTCAAAATTTAAGGGGCCATGTACACCCATAGGGGATTGAAGACCATGGAAAAATCCTTCTCCTTTCTATTTCATGGATTTCATTAAGGCTTCTCAGAAGGCCTATGGTAGCCAGCACAAGTTGGCCATAGCCATAGCCATTTTAGCATTCTTATTTCAGCTTTTTCTTCTTTGTTTTTATTCCCCTTTTCATTATTCCTGCTCTCTAGCGTCATATTCCTAGATAAATTACCTGTGAGGAAGTCTTTTTTGGGAGGAACTCAGGCTGAGACAGTAATCTTATTACCTAAGTGGAAATAATACATATATATACATACATACAAATAATTCAAGTCTTAATATACAATTATGTTCATTATTCATATGTACAGAGATTTAGAAAGAGTGACTTTTTAAATTAAAATAATTGTTTCAACTTTTCCAAAGCTTATTCCTTTTTCAATTTACATTTGAGAGCTAGTAGTCACAGTAGCAAATTGCTATATCATCAAAATGTTCATTCTGCTATATAAAGTGCACACATATATTTAACATATATAGAGATTTACAGACTGAATAAGAGGGCTTTTTGTGTGTTTTAAAGGAGTATGAAGATGTCTAACATTTTTTCTATATTGTTGAATAGTTGGTTCCATTACTTTCTCCAGGTAAATCAGTATGAAAAGAAGGGAGAGGTTCTTCAATAAAAAGGTAAATGGAACTAGAGGCATTTCTTTCGGTATTTGTAATGTCAGTTTACACTTTCACCATCAGAGGTCATGAAAGGACAATGTAGAAGAGAAAATTTGAGCTTTATTGAAAAGAAGTTTGAAATTTGAACTGCAACTTTCTGAGAAGGCATTTCAAAAACCATAATCTAGTTAATGTCATTTGTAATGGAAGAAAAATAGTTTTTAAGAGTAAAATTATCTGATAGGTTACAAAAACATCAGGATATTATTTGACTTTGGTGCTCTCAATTTTTAGTTTAAGAATAAAATTTTAAATGCAAACTATTGATGACTACTTGTCTTGGAAATATATAATATTTAATTTTATCTGGGTTTGTGGGGTCTATAATTGACAAAAATAAAGAAAGGAAATAAATAAAATTAAAACTTAGAAGTGCCTAGGAATACATTTCTCAGTGAACACATCATATACTTTATAAAGCATAGTAAACTGTGCCTCAGAAACTTTGCATCTGAAAAACCAACAATGAAAAATGTATTAAATATATTATTGACAATAATATATTTT